ATAAAGGGGTCAGAATGGAAAGAGGCTCCTCTCCCCTCCAGAGTCAGGAAGCACCGAGATGGCAAACAGAGCAAAAGATGGGGTCTAGGCAGGTGGGCACGAGCAGGGGCGGTGGCTGGAAGGGGACAAAGGGGGCATTCGGAGGCTGTCCTTGGCCTGCATCAAAGGTACCAGAGGCCCCGTCACCTGATGGAACCCGGAGGCTTATAGCCACCGACATTTGGCTCTACCTTTCGGACTTGGGTAAATTCCTATAAGAGCTAGAGTGGAGAACTTGGGAAAAATCAGGGCAACAGAGAACTAGAGTACTCATGGCTCAAGGTCAAAGGGTACAAAGACACCAACAGGAGAGAGGCAAGGACCAAAGGTTGGTTTAGTGGGCTCTGTCAACGCGCAGGGCCCACTCAGGGGTTCTCCCAGGCTCACTGGAGGCCACAGGTGTGCCCTGTGGTCCAGGACTTGGAGAAGCCACCACTGTGTGCTCGTGCTCCCTCCTTTGGTGGCTTGGGTCCAGTTCCTGTTGCCATGGAAATCCAGCTGGCCTCACATTCACTGGACCCAGAGTTGGCATCTGCAGGTGGAGCTGGTGGGATCCAGAGAAGCGGACTCTCTTCTCAACCGAGCTCCCTTGGAGGAACCTTTCTCATCAGCCACTGGAGCAGAAAACACCACTAACTTCTCATTCCCGTCAACATCCAGGGCCTGGCTTCAGCTGAAAAGAAAAATTCTCCCCAAGGCAGACACATCTTCCAGTGCCCACACAGGCACATTCTCCAAAGCGAATGATTGCATTTGAAATTTGTCTCACGGGGAGAGAAAGAATGTACGTGCGTACAGGTTCAAGTCGCTCCGCAAAGCAGGTCCGCAGGGTAGCGATACCGCCCTACGCCCATCTCTAAGGACACGAGCTGGTGGTTAACAGTACAGATTCTCAAGCCGGACTGCTTGGGTTCAAAACTGCCCCCACCCCCCACTTTCTATCAATTGCATCTTCAATTACTTTTGCTCTTAGTACTTCTGTTTTCTTCTAAGAGAAAAAGAACAGTAGACTCTTGCTCATGAGAGAACACATTTAGAATGCTTAGAACAGCGCTTCCCACCGAGTAGATGCTCTGTGAATGCTGGCCACATGCGAGCCCCTCCCAGCCCGGAGCTGCCCATGCACAGCCTCCCGCCTCTCTCCTTCAGCATCTGTGAGCCCGGTGTCTCTCACCTGTCCCTTCCTCTCGGGCCCCACAACGTGCAGCAGTTCTAAGGCAGTATACTTGCTGATTGCTTCCCGCACTATTACTCACAACAACCAGCTAAGACACTGCCAAAGAAACACGCACAGCTGGCCCTGTCCGTGGCACAGCAGGCACACCCGGCCTGCCTCTCCCTGGGACCTGTGGAGAAGGACATCTGAGGAGGAAAGACAGGATGGAGGATAAAGTTAAGACCGGCAGCAGATCCCAACAGGGTTGGCCCACCACTAGCTGACAAAGAGAAAAAAAACCAGTCGGCACTTCCCTGGAAGAGAAAAAGTTAAAAAATGACAGTCATTTAAAATCCACATGTCTATGTGAAAAGGAAACCGTGGAATAAGCAGCAGTGACTTGTCCCCCATCCCGGGCACTGTTTAGAGAGTGTATCAGTCAGAGTTCTGCCAGAGAAACGGAACCAGAAGGAGATATAGACTAAGATTTATTTCAAGGAATTGGCTCACGTGATTGTGTCAGCTGACTAGGCCAGGCTGGAAACTCTGAGGCAGGAGCTGACACTGCAGCCCACAGGCAGAATTTCTCCTTCCTCAGGGAAACGCCAGCTCTGCTCTAAAGGCCTTCAACTGATCGGATGAGGCCCACCACATTATCAAGGATAATTTTTACTTAAAGTCAACCTATTGCAGGTGTTACCCACATTTGCAAAACACCTTCCCAGCAGCACCTAGATCAGCGTTTGGTTGAATTACTGGCTACTACAGCCTGGCCGAGCTGACACCTCAAACTCACCACCACAGAGGCTGCTTGAAGATCTAGTGACTAACTACTTTGGATGAAGACCACCGATGGGACAGTTCCTCTTCCATGTGGGTGTGGGGATGTGCAGGGGTGTTCCTGGGAGGGTCAATGTGACCTCTACCCCAGCACAGGAGGTCCCACAAACCAGAGTTCCAGGCAAGGTGGTGCAGATAAGAGCAGCTCGTGAGCCAGCACAATCTCTCTGCCCGGGAGGAGAAAGCCCCTCGAGGCTTTCCCACACGCTTGGCAGGATGCGGGGCACTGAGCCGTCCTCTCTGGGCTCCTAAATGTCCAGTGGGAGCAGATGGGAGTTCACTCTTACTTTAGTCCTCTGCCCCCAAGCAGGCAAATCCGTGATGCTCTGCCAAGAAGCCAGCCAGACTGGACTTGAATTACAATTTTTCAGTGTGGGAAAAACACTCCTAATACATCCAATTTTATCCCAAAGGTGAGTTCCAGCAGAGCACGTTTATCAGATTAGAAAGAGTCACCTGGAAGGTTGGTAAAGTGCAGTTTCCCAGCTACGCTCTGGAGCTTCTGATCCAGCAGGTCTGGGGGCCAAAGGCATCTTCTGCTGTGACCACATCCTCAAAAAGCACAGGGACAAGCAGGAGCCTGAATAAAGGCTCCCCCTCTCTCGACTCCCAGACTGGAGGACCCTCGAATACTGACAACAGAAGCAGACTTCCCAAGGTAAAGACAGCTCCACAGTGCAAACAGAGCCACAGGGGCACATGTGGTCTTGTGAGCACGGAGTCGCATTCGGATGGGCTGGCCCGTCAGGAGACGGGTGTGAGGGGCGGGGATGGCTCAGGAGCTCACTGGTTTAAGACCGGGCTCGTGGTACTGCTGTGGCAGAGAGCAAAGGCCGGGCTGTGACGGTGGAAGGGCCTGTGCATTCTCGGGGATGGGGCTCGGTCTGAACCCCAGCAGAGGTCTCAACAAGCACTAACGGAGTGTGAGAAGGATGAAGACAAGAGAACTGCCAAGTCCTCCATCCAGCCCCTCCTCCAGCTCAGCAACAGTCCCCAAGGAAAAGACAGCTCAGAAAGGCAAGACCAGATGCGCCTTCTACTGCCACACAGCCCCGGCCCCTGGTTTCCACAGGGAACTGCATTTTCTGAATCTAGGCAGTGACCCGAGGAAGGGTCAGCCTCCACAGGCCGGGCACCAGGGCTGGTCTGGCAGTTCTGGTGGCCAGGAGGGGGTCCCTCTTCCTCCTGAGTCCAGGATCCTCGGATACAGAGACAATCTTCCCAGTTAGACAGAGGAGGCCTGGACCTCAGGGACAATCTTCTGGTCAGAGGACTGTAGGAAAGGGCGAAGAATCAGTCAGTGCATGAAACTTCACTGTGTTCCATGAGACACAAAACACACCTAGTCAGCAGCCTTGAACCAAGTCCTGGAAAGCCGCACCCTGAGCTCAGAGTGAACACACGCAGACTGAAATGGACATTCCTTTCTACGCAAAGGCCTGTGGTTCAATCACCAGGCAAGCTTCTGCCACATGAACACAAGATGCTTAAAAGGCCTGGAGCTCAGTTCAGAGGCCCGATTTGCCTTCACTTCACTTCTTACAGGGGCCCTTTTGAGCCCCAGGCCCGACGCATCTTGCTGTGGAGCTGCTGGTCCAGGGAACCAGGAGAAATGCAAGAAAACCAGAAGTTATTTTTACCAGGAGAATTTTAAGTTCCTAGTGCTCAACTTTTAAGTGCTAAAGAAAAAGTGAATTGTCGTAACAAGGCTCTTGGATGTTACGACTCCGGGGAAAGCGCAGCCCTCTCCATCCAGGAGATGTGGAAATCCACTCTGGAAGCCTTCCTAATCCGACAGCATATCTTTCAGGAAGCAAGACCTCACCTTCAGGCATCCATCACCGACTGAGCGCCTGTGACGCACTGACACGGTGCTGGGTGCTGAGGACCAGACAGGGAGGACGGCAGCCGTCCAGGACCTTGGGGGTCCACGGAGACAGATGGGCAGAAATCGCAGACATGCAAAATTACATCTGCCAGCAGTTCCGAACCAGGAGAACAAGGGCTTTTGAAGCGCCCGTCTGGTGGAGAAGCCCATACTGAGAAGCATCCTCTGCGTTTCACAACGACGTCGAAAGCTATTAGGAATTTTTCTGCCATTGCATTGATCCCATCCAGAAAACCTGAGCCAGCGGAAGGAAGGTGAGGTGGCTCAGAGGAGCTTCCAAGACTGTCCAGGATGGAGCCAGGGGGGAGAGAAACCTGCCTTAAGAGGGGGTGTCCCAGGGACAGGGCCAAAAAAGACGGACTTGGATGTTTTCAGCCTCAAAAATTACCATCAGGTCTGTGTCTACTGGAACTAGCTTTCCCAGCAGGGCAGCTACCACCCTCATCTCTCCCACAGCCGCCTGTGCCCGCCCTGGAGAAAAGAGAAAGCTCCAGGAAGCCCCCAGTAGGTGATGGTGGTACATGCCTGTCCCTCTGCTGATCCCGCAGTGTCCTGGTGAATGGCAGGCATGCTTGTTGGTTCTGGGGAGCTGCCAGCCAGAAGGCTGCGGCCTCTCGCTCTGCAGAGCTGGGAGACCTGTTCGTCTAATGCCTCTCAATATTCAGAACTCTCATTTTTCCCTATTCTGGTTCTTAGGGATGGAGCCTTGAGCAGCCAACTCCGGGAGGCAGCAGGTGCATCAAGAGGGAAAAAAACTCAAACACTTGAAAACCACCAGTCCAGATGCTTCCTGGGAAGAGGGCCTCCCTGGGAAGTGAAAGGCTGAGTAGACACCGTGGTTGTCTAAAACTACCTTTGCATTAAGAATTGAGTATAGAGGCCGGCCCCAGTGGGTTCGTGCACTCTGCTTTGGTGACCCAGGGTTTCACTGGTTCGGATGCTGGGCATGGACATGGCACCGCTTGTCAAGCTACGCTGAGGCGGCATCCCACATAGCACAACCAGAAAGACCCACAACTAAAAATATACAACTATGTACCAGGGGGCTTTGGGGAGAAGAAGAATAATTAAAAAAAGAAGACTGGCAACAGATGTTAGCTCAGGTGCCAATCTTTAAAAAAAGAGAAAAAGAATTGAGTATAAAGTACACGTATTTTAGGAGTAAGAGTTACTGTCTTACCCCAAGTCAGTTAGAAATCTGAATAAATTTAAATTTTCCACTGTAGCAGATACTGTTGGTTGCCTGCCCCAAATTCACACCCCGTCTTCTCCAGCTCGGAGGCCCCGATTTGGTTCGGGTGATCCACTCCCCTCTCCCTAGTTATGTGCCTCATGAATTCCATCCCCACACCCTTCTGGTGCCTCTGATTGGCTGGGGCTGGGCACAAGGCATAATTCTGGCCAATGAGATTTGTAGGAAAGTGAGCAGGGGCTTTGGGAAAGGTTTCCTCACTCACAAGAGACCCCCAGGAAGAGCCGGACGGGAGCTGGCGGGAGATGAAGTCAGTAGGTGGAGGATGGCAGAGCGGAAATGCGGAGAGCTTACTCCTTGGCATGGCTGGGCCGCTGGATATTCCCCATCACAGGTGCCCGATCTCTGGGCTTACGTTTTATAACATTTTTAACGTTCTGATTACTTATATCGTTTCGAGTGGGGTTTTCTCTTACTTGCAGAGGAAGGAATCCTAACGATATATCCTATAATTTAAGCAATTTGAGCAAGAGAAATTACCTTGGAATTTAAAAAAAAAAAAAAAGCAAACCACTTAAGAAAAACAACGTTTCTGTCACAAAACGTTCAGCCACAGCAGAAACAGCTTCCCAGTCCTCTCCCCACAAAGTATAAGGTGCAAGGGCAGCTTTAGACAGCTGTGCTGTCTGCTCTCAGCCTCCCACTCCCAGGGGGGGCCCTCTTCCCAGTGAGCATCCGGCGGACACCCCACAGCGGCAGCAGGTAGGAGAGAACACGACTGGACTGTCGAGAGGAAGACAGTGAACACATCCTCAACAACATCAAATAAGACAAAACCAGTGCTTGCTTCAGGCGGGGAGTCCTGGCTTGGCTCTTCAGACCTGGGCTCCTTCCCGTCCTGTCCTCAGGCCAGAAATCCCCCAAAAGGAGGGCTAAGGGCACATTCACTGGCTAAACACAGCGCGAATGAAGATGCTGGAGCCTGGTGTTCAGAAGTCCAGTCTTAACAGGAGAGGTGATTTCAAAACTTCAAACAATTTCAAAATACAATCCAGCCCAAGGGGCTGTAATATAAATTTGAGTTTTGGAGGAAGCCCAGCACTGCCCGTGCTTCTCCGAGTAGGGCTTGAGGGAGCTGCCCCGATACAGCCGAGCCCTGGTGCTGAGCGGAGGCGGCACCCCCCACCCCCTCCTTATGGAAACGTAACAGTCCACCTAACCACAGCCAAGCCTTCCACGGTGTGCCATTTGCAGTTACAAAAACAATCTCGCCGTTTCTGGACCTTGTCTTACATTTGCCATTAAGCATCCAGGCTCCGTAAGAAACTTACTTTTCAGACCAAAGGACCAGACACTTAGAAATGTTTCTCTAACGCCAAGGTCAGATTTTGTACACAAAACTCTCTCAACAAATCCACGACTTTCCTCGCTAATCCCAAAAGCCTTCTCCTCAAGTGGTAAGTGTTCCCTGAAGTTGACCACAGACTAAACCAGCAGAAAAAATGAAAAGTGGGTTACCTGCTTTGTGGGCTGAGGGAGGACCCGGGATGAGACCTTCAACTGTGGCCTCGCAGCCGCAGGGCTGGCTCCACCTGTCGGACCTGTCAAGCCTGCTGCCACCTCCAGGTCTGGCACCGCTGCCAGTGGCCCGACTCACAGCCAGCGCCTCGGCCCCTCCATGGATGTGCAGTCACCTGCAGAGAGGTGCTGGCACACAGGGCCCCTCCCCTCCCTGCTCCCACCGTGACCTGCCCCTCCCCAGCCAGTCAGGCACTGGAACATCTCTCCTGAGTCACTTGGATTGTAAACCTAAAGCTGGTGGAAAGAAAGAACAAAGGGAAGAGGAAGGAAGGAGAGAGAGAGAGAGAGGAAAAACCCTGGCCCCCACATCCACCAATAGCTCCTTGGAGATGGTCAGGGAGGTGGGGCCAGGTGGGACCAGGAGCCTGGGCAAGGCCATCACGGTGATCACCAGGGTCGAATTCCAGGGCTGCTCCTTCCCTCTGGATGGCTATTTTGGGAAAGCAGCTTACTCCAGCAGTTGACAGACTGGCTACCGCAGACCCTGGAATCCGGAAGACTCCGAGCTCTGCCAGGCCCAGCGCAGGTAAAGGCAGCGAGCACAGCCCGAGGGAGCAAAGGGCAAGTCCCAGACGCCGCGAGACTCTGCTCTAAGCATGCATAGGCCCACCCATCCCTCTGTCTCAGCCCTTCAATAGGATCTCTGAGCACCCGCGGTACAGTCCGGTCTATAAGAGGGCTTGGCTCGATGTATTAACCAGGTGCTGGTGGGCAGGTGGTGGGGCCAGTGGCATCGGGTCCAGCAGCATCACTGCTTATTTTCCTGCCATTCAGGACTCAGAGCCCTTGGCAGCCAGATCTAGCTTCTCCGCCTTTTCACTTCCTGGTCCCTGATGCCCATCAAGTGCAAGGTGACAGTGTGCATGGGAGCTCACCGCCATCTGAATATAAGGTCACAGGTGCTGCGTGGGGAGGGGCGGGCCCGGGCATCCCAACCACTGCTCAAGTTCAATCGCATGCTTCGGAGGCAGCCAATTAAGCCGAGCCTCTGGGGGCCAGTGAAGAATGGAAACAGCAATGCCTGAGAGGAGAGCTGTGGGCACAATGATCTTTTGATAACTAGGTTTTCAAGTACAAGGTGGATGCTAAGATCTGAAGCCCCTACTGGGAAACCAGAACCCATTTCCCTAAGGAGACAGTGAGGCGGGAAAGGAGCCAAGAGAGGACCAGAGACGGAATTCAGACAGAACCCAGCCTCCTCCCCCTGGGGTTACAGCCCCACTCACCAAAGGCGGGAGGGAGAAGGCTGCTGTCACTAGGCGTGGCCTCCGACCTCAGGGTTGTGTCAGTCCTCAGAGCAACACTGTGCTTTGTGAAGCCCCATCTCAAAGCCAGCGGCTCACTCTGTGGCCTCAAGAGGGGCCAGCAAACAGGCTGGGTCTTGCTCAAGGGGCCTGATGCACAGCAGTGGGGTGTGACCCTTGGTTGGTCCATCCTGGGACCTGGCTTCTCCCCTCCTCTCCCTCAGGCAGCCCGGTCCTTTCCCTTCCTCCCCCCGCCAGTCCCGCGTCAGAGGCCTTAAGAAAAATCCCCCAAGCACTAGCCAACTTCAGAAAGCCCTGGCCTTTAGATCATCTGCTAGTCACTGGGCCAAGACCCAAACTAAGGGGAGAGAAATGCTCAGGGATTTCAGAAAATTGAACTGCAAAGGTGCTCACAATAAAATCGCCAGTGGCAGCTTGGCATGCCCTTAAACACTTTTGGGAAGTTATTTACTAACTGGAGCTAAAAAAGAAGTTGAGGGTTTCTGCCTCCAATTTAGTAGACAAGAATCTTTTAAATTTACATACAAAGTCCCATGATAAGTCACTTGGGATCCCCCAAAGTAGGAAGGCTGCTTGTGGTTAGAGCTGGGTGAGTCAACGAAACAAACAAATGAGCCCGATGAGGTCAGCCTTTTGGAAAAGGAACAAAGAAAACTGCACCCGAGCAAGAGGCAGCTTACGATGCCAAAGCAGGGGTCACAGAAAGCCCAGTTCTGAATCCTCAAATCTAGTCGTTCTCGATGGGGACAATTCTGTCCAGTGGGGGACATTTGGAACGTCCAGAGGCATTTTTGGTTGTCACAACATGGGGTGGGGGATGCTACTGGCATCCAGTGGGTCCAGGCCAGGGATGCTGCTGACCATCTCAGAGCACAGGACAGTCCCACAGCAGACAGTTATCCCTCCCCAAATGTCAGTAGTTCTGCAAATGAGAAATGGCTCCAAAACAATGAAAAATATTTTTCTCTCCTCTTTAAAAGTCCTGGGCAAATGGTTACCTTCAGTCACTGGACAGACATGTCCCTCAGCCCAGAGGGCCACTGGTGGGGACACCTCCTACCTGCAGCGAGGCCAGGCGATCACGGGGTCGGTACTTTTGGCGGGACCTCTGGGAAGGGACCCCAGCTTGGATGAGCTGCCTGGCTGCCCCAGGACTCTACTCGCCCTTGGCCAAGTGTTCCGGTCCTCAGAACTTAGACCCCTGCTGTTCAGCTCTGAGGAGCTCACAGTGACGCTATGGAAAGCTATGTGAACCTTGTCAGAGCAGACCACCTCCCTGTGGCACATGCTGCACAGGCATCAAGGACCTTTCGCATACTTTCTCTCGCCTGAATAAATAAGAGCCTGGGCCGGCGAAGCCGTCTTTCTGCGTTCCTGACCTGCCAGGCCAGCGGAACATGCAGAAGCCACATGGCCAAGTGCGCGGGGGGATAGGGAAGGGAGAGAGGGGAAGTGTCCACCTTCGTATCACATGAAGGCACAGCACAGGGGGAAGCTGAGAGCTGACCAAGACCCCCGAGCTGAGAGTGGCTGGACCCCACTCCGGACCTCCAGAGACAAGCTGAGTGTGGGGGGCACTTGAGTAACAGGATCCGCAGCCTGGTGAGCCCCCAGGGGCCAGAACTGAGTGGAAGGCAGCAGCATCTGGGGTCACCCTAGCTCTTAGCTCCAGGCCCCTGCCATTGAGGGTCTGGATGTGAGTCTCGCAGAGACCAAGGCTCCGGAATTATAAGGAGCACATCAGACTCCTGGAGTGTATTCTGGTCTGCCACAAGGCTCAGCAAACAGTTAACAAAAACCACCCCCAAGAGCTGAGTGGATGGGAAGGACACACAACCAGGGAGGACAGTGGCTGCCTTTGGGGAGTTGGGAGTTGCGGGGAGAGGCAGGCCAGAAACGGGCCCAACCCATTAACTTCATCTACCTCGGGACTGTCATTTTTTATGAACATTATTATGAATTTTATAATTTTAAAAGAATATTAAAAACCAAAAACCATGAGGGCAGAATATGTCGTATCCACGCCCAGTCTCCTGGGAATACATGCTCTCCACTGCAGTCTTGCACCGGCTGCTGAGCCAGGTCACCAGACCCCAGAAACTGCCCCAAGTGAGACTCTGCGAAGGCCGAAGAGAAAAGGCAGAGGCGATGAGAGAGCGCCCGGTGCTGAACGAGCATCTCCCTCCAGCTATCTCAGGAAATGAGAAAAACAAGCCGCCAGGAGCCCAGGGAGAAGGGAGGCAGCAGGCCTGACACCCCACATCTCCTCCAGCACCCCGAGTAGGTAGCCTGTCGCCACCGATGGTCCCCTCAGACCAAGACAAGGTTGTGGATCCATCGCTCACCCTGAGGTTTGCGACGAGGAAGAACGTTATGGACAGCTAAAAGGCTTTGTCCCCCATCCCCACCTTTAAGCTTGGTGCCTTCTCACCACCCCACCTGCTCTCAGTTCCAAAAAGGCACAGCCTCCTTGAGCCGCCCATGCCTACCTCCATCGCACCCCACTTCCCTACCCTCGAACCTGAGCTCTGGTTTTCCATTGCCAGTCTTGCCTCAGCCTCAGGCCTGAGGCTTAGCATTGTTGCTACTGCTCAATCTCTCACTTCTCTCTACCCTGAGAGTTCTGGGCTCCCCTCTGCCAGCTCTGTTCCCTACAGCCTGGTGAGTAACTCTCACGGGTGTCCCCAAGACCTTCCACTTTCCCAGGTTCCCCCTCCTGCAAGAGGCACTCAGACATCCAGAGACAGGGCGGAGCTGGGCAGACAGGGCTGACCCAACAGGACAACTCGCATGCTCTGACATTCCTCAGGGCATCGACTTCCCCAATAACATCAAGAGCAAGACTAGAAATGCAACGTCTGGCCATGACAACATCACATTTTAACAATATAGTATACCCTGTCAAATGTAAAGAAAAATAGGTAAGTTGATAAAATAATATTCAAAATAATAATCTAAAGTTTGTGTGTGTGTGTCTTTAGCTTAAGAACATACAGGAACAAAGGCAAACAAAAGCAATATTCCCAGTGGGCCAGATGGAGAAGTCACTTTGCTGCCACAGCTCCCTGAGCCGCAGTCTGGGGTCCTGGCACTCTGTGAAGGCTGCCGGCTCTGGGGGTTAACTGGTGAGCTGGGATGCAGGAGGGAAGAGAGTCAGAAGCCAAGCAGATACGAATTCACTGCACCAGGCAGTAAATTAATGGAGGAACCTACTTCCTGCTCTTCGAAGGGAAGGCTCAAGCCTCGAGTCTGTTTCCAAGGAAGAGCACCAGGACCCAGCGTCCAAATATGGTCAGATAGCTCGAGGCTGGTGAGAGAAATTCTAAAGGAGGGATGTTTGTGGACCCCCAAGTGCTGTCCCCCCTGCTTCTGTCCCCACATACTGATGGCCACTCTCCACCCATACCTCAAGTATTCATCATCCTCAGACCTGCCTGACCCCTGGTTCACTGAGAAAACCTGTCCTTGAAGAACGCCAGACACCCTGCTACGTGAAGCGGCTGGCCGAGCAGGAGCCTCGTCCCGTTCAGGGGACTCTGCATCTGAGTGTAGAGTAAATTTGCTACCTGGCTAAGCCAAAAGAAGCTCTAATTTTTAAATTCTGACCACAAACCAGCTCACTGAAGGAGGCTGGGTGGGGGTGGCAGCGTAAGAGGAGATTTCCCAAGATCACAGACCAGGGCCTTCTCCTCACTCGGATGCTGGCTCTCCTGCCCCTATGAGGCCAGTCTCTGCCTTGAGCACCCTCCCTGCCAGCTTTCCCAAACCCTACTCCTCCTTCTGCCTCGGTCAGCACTCCCCTCCTGGGGAAGCACAGCGCACCCCAAGTACTGCCCTATTAGTGTATTGTTGGTGTCCCCCCGCACACGCTCAGGGCAAGTTTCTGTTTGCACTCTCAGGGGTTAGCACAGTAGATAGGACACAGCAGACACTAATGAAGGTGTGTTGAAGGAGCAAGGACTGCAGGGAGAAGGAAGACAGGCAGGGCTGCTGGCCAGCCTACGCTCAGAATCAGGGACCCAGGTTCCCGTGCTTCACTAGCTTAATGATCTGGCTGAGCCAAAGGTGTATCATCTGTACAAGACAATGCACAACACAGGTGAGGCAGCAGTGTTTTAAAAACTATAAACATAAGGAATTATGCTTTCACTTTAGACTGCCTTTGAGCACATCTAATTTGTAAGTTAGTGATTTGGACTTTTCATAAGTTTATTTGTACATTGGGTGCTTGGAACTAGGAATACCATGCCCCAAAGCAACAACACCGTGAAGGGTGGGCAGGCGCACAGACTCAGCCAGGTAAGTCAACTGTGTGCATGTGCTCAAAGTAGACCTCAGACATCTGGAAACACGGCTGGTGCCCCCTCGAGGGCATGGCCATGCCTCACTTCACTTTTGTATCCTTGGCACCCAGTGTGGTGGGGGGCCAGGGCAGATACCCAGACACTCAGTGAATGAGTAAAAGAGTGAGGAATACAGCAGCGGCAGTGGCAGCAATATCAAGTGGCTCCGTTATACACCAGGTACTTTCTAAACCCTTTAGCTGCATCCCTCACATAGTAGGCTGACAAACAGACCACCAAAAGATATCCACGTCAAGTCCCTGGAACCTGTGAGTGGGACCACATTTGGAAAAAAAAGTCTTTGCAGGTGTGACTAACTAAGGATCCTGAGATAAGGAGATCATCCTGGATAATCTGGGTGGACTCTATAAATCCAATGACAAGTGTCCTTACAAACTGAGGCAGAAGGAGATTTAAGAGGCAGAAGACACAGACACAGAGAAGGTGACAGGAAGACAGAGACTGGAGTGATGCAGCCACAAGCCCAGGAATGCCAGGGCAGCCACCAGCACCTGGAAGAGGCCAGAGAGGATCGTTCCCCTGAGTCTCAAGGGCGACTGCAGCCCTGCCGGCCTCCAGAACGCAGAGGGAAGAAATTTCTGTTGTTTCAAGCCACCCAGTTTGTGGTAATTTGTTAAAGCAGCCACAGGAAACCAACACTCTCCTGGAGTCATCAATTAACTCCTTAAACTGCAGCAGGAGGGGAAGGAGGAGGGTATGGATTTGGGGGGCCGGGGGAGAGAGGAGTAAGAATGAGGCTCTGAGCAGCCCAAACTCCTGTGACCAAGTTCCTGTCCTTCCTCAGAAGTATTGTTAGCCCTGCAGAAATTAATGAAGGAAACCTTAACTAAACTGGAGCCAAGAAGGCCTGCAGGGGGAGCCCTCACACCCTATCACACATCGACAATTACCCCAAACAGGAAGAGACAGATGCTTGCATCTTTCACAGAAAGTAATCCTACTTTCCTACTGCAAGATTTCTCTCCCTACCTGGGAACGGCCCAGCCAATGAGAAACACCACAGCTCAGCCAATGAGAAACACCGCAGCTCAGCCAATGAGAAACACCACAGCTCAGCCAATGAGAAACACCACAGCTCAGCCAATGAGAAACACCGCAGCTCAGCCAATGAGAAACGCCGCAGCTCAGCCAATGAGAAATGCTGCAGCTCAGCCAATGAGAAGCCGTTGCCACCCTGAACTGTTACTTTGCCCCAATGGACTTTCTTGAGAACAGTGCCTCCCTGCTCCTCCTTTTTCTCTATAAAAGCAGCTCCCCTCCTTTGTTTTTTGGATTTGCTTATGATTTCCCACAGCACGCACATCCAGAATTGCAATTCTTTCAGCTATTCCCAAATAAACTCATTTCGAGGGTAAAATAACAGACGAATTTGCTTTTTAAATGGACATCCCCAATACTGTGTTCATGTACTGTTAGTCTCACATCTGTTAACCAATATTCTCCTTGAATAAACAGAGTCACCCTAACGTTACAGTTAGCTGAAATTCAAAATCAAGTAAATGAATGACTAATATTAAACAAAAGCAATGAATCAAAGTAATGCTTTGTTTTCAAATGACACCCACTTCCTTATTCTGATACTGGGGTGGGGGCTGGCTTGCCCTTGAGATCCGCTTATTAACTCGCACCTGACACACAATGCTAACCTGGATATAGGGATGGGGGTTTCTGACTCCACAGTAATTTACAAGCAGCAACTCAGACAGGAGGAAAAGGTCTGATGAAGTGAAATTCACCGAGAAAACCAAGCAGAGACAAGTGAGGGGCAGAGAACAATAGAAGAAATGGAAATGCTATGAAACACACTCGCCAACACTAAAAAGCCTTGTGCTCTGAGCCTGGGGCCTTCAGGCGGTTGTTCCACGCTACACAGCCCAGCCGCGAATGTTCAAAGTGATATTCTGGCTCAGCAGGAAAAGGTAAATTGTGTTTACTCTGTTTTAAAAACTATACTGTTCCCTTTGTCTGCCTGTCCCTGCAGTGAACTCCAGGGTGGTCCCCTACGCACGAGGAGTGAAGCCGCCCAACATGTCCCAGGCAGAGGGTGTCCCACCCTCTCCTCTCTGTTAACTCTGCCCTGGATGTGGTGGAAGGACATGGCCACGTCTGTGTCAGTGGCCAAAACTGCACTGGACACAAAACACAGAAAGACTCACCAAAATGTGCTGGACATGTGAACACAGGAATGAATGAATAAAGAAAGAAAGAAATGAATGGACGAATTTTAAAGTTTTGATTAAATGTCTGAATTCTTCACTGGACTCTCTGTTCTCTCTCTGCTGATTCCTCCTCCTCAAGGTCCTGTGGCTCCATTTCTCTTTCATAAAATTCCTAGGACCATTTAACCATGGAAACAGCCAGGACTGTATTAATTCCCTGGAGGGCGGGTGCTCGAAATCCAGGGGGGGTCAGGAAAAAATCTAAGAAATGCTGCTCGTGTCCTAACTTTTTTTTTAAGTTGTAAATTGCTGACATGATACCAAACCATAAGGACAAAAGACCCACAGATAGAATTAGAGACTGTGGTGGACAGACCCTCCGGTGGTCTCTGTGATGGTGGCCTCGTGGTGTTCACACCCTCGTGTAGTCCCCTCCCCTTGAGCATGGGTGGGACCCATGACTTACTTCTAACCAACAGAATACGGACCGCAGTTCTCAGAGTGCCTTCACACCCGTGTCTGCTCCCGGGGCACCCAGCAGTCACCCTCCATCTTGGCAGCAGCAGAGTGACGACTGCAGACTGAATCACACTACATGCATCCAAGCTGGGGCTCCGCCATAACCACACTTGTGCCCAGCGATGTAACCCCCCTGAGGCTCAGTTTCCTCATGTGTAAAATGGGGACAATAGTAGCTACCCCATCACGTTGTTATAAGGATTAAATAAAGGAAATATTTGAAACGTGCTTAGCACAGTGCACAGCACACAGCAAGAGCTCAATAAATGTTTGTTATTTATGCATTCCTTATTTACCTTCCGTTGTCGTGACTGGACTGGAAAGTCCGGGAGGGCAGCAGTGGTCTGTCTGGCCCACTGTTGCAGAACCTTGAACATGGGGTGGATCCAGGAGTATCTGTGAACAAATGAGGCGTCTCACACCATCCTCCTAGCGACTCTGTGAGGAAGACAGAATGGGGATGATTTATTCCAAGATAAGAAAATGGCTTGAGAGATGTTAAATTCTTGTCCAGTACCACCGAGGAAATGAGGGATAAAATGAGGACCATCTTACTCCCAAACAATCTTCTTTATATTTCCCCACTGACTTAACTACAACTCTAACGAAGTTAATTTGACACATATTAAGGATAAATGTAAGTGTTAGCCTCCAGTACAGTAATTAGGCTTAAACGGAAACAATTCACACAAACGCACATAATTAGCACTGTGTGTACACAGTCGAAGCTTGTGTTTCTGGAAGCATTTGAGAGAAGGTGTGATTCTTTGGTGAAGGAGAGAGAATGAGAGAGGCAGAAAAGCGTTTGCTTTTTTGCCTTAAACTCAGCATGGACTGATGTGGCTTATGAGTGGCTCTAAGGGAACGGGAGTTTTGAACTGTTCTGGGGTTAAACGGCTTTTGAGGGGTTAGGACAGACCTCAGTGGGTGCCAAAGTGGGGTGCAGGCTCGGAACTGTGGGACAGTGGGCGAGGGACATTATGCTTGAGACAGAGTGGAAAGGGGCTGAAGGCAATTCTCCCTGGTCTGACATATTCCTCTGGGCCTGTCCCGCCTTCTCTCCTGCCCAAAGGCCAAGGCAACTGTCCTCTCACCCTTGCTGAGTCTCTCTACGGCCCAGCCCACATCCCTCACCTGGTTCTGCCCTGATCAAGGAGGTGGGTGTTCAGGACAGGGAGATGGCTGGGTCGTACCCAGGGTGAGCAAATTCAGCACAGGTCCTCGAGCAGCTGTTTCTCAGCAGATTCTCAGGAATTGTTTCTCTGTCTCTCCGGGTTAAGGTGAGGGATCTGAACCTGCTTCAGGGTTTGGGGAGACAATTCTGAGAACCCCAACCCGCCTTGTGGTGATCCTGGAGGAGAGACTGTATGGATGAAGGGTCGACTGCATGCCTAGGATTTTAAACCTGCTTCACCCCAACCCCAGTGGTGGGCTTCATAATAAAAGCGGGTTATAGCAACAGTAGCCTCATCCACTTTCATTCCAAGACCATTTTAATTAATTTTGTTGTGAGAGGATGTGACAGCCTGGGAATATGTTTAGCCAGGAATCAATTTGTTTCAAATCCACTAACACTCCTCCCCCAAAGTGGACACACCCCCCTACTGTCAGGTCAGCCCTTTCTCGGCTGGACGGACCCTCCCTTCCTCCGCCCACTCTCCCAGCTACTGAGCTTGAAACTCCACTTTCCTCAGAGGGAGCTGAGGCACACCCAGCCTGCAGCTGATCTGGCAAGATGAGGATGAGCCCTCCATCCAGAGGAGGCGATGGGAATCAGACAGGAGCTGCTGCCCGGTGCTAGGGGAGGCTGGAGAAGTGAGTCAATGCTGTTTTCAGGAAGGGACAAGACAAGCATCAAATGACAGTGCTAGCACAGAGGTCAGGGTGGGGCCCCAGGGAAAGACAGGTCGGTTACCGGCTCCATGCATGGGAGCTCCCCACAAGCACTGGGTCAGTTACCATTGCCCACAGACATGGACGCGAGAGCAGAGTGTACTCTTTTTGCATCAGCCCAAGGCATTTTACTCCACTTAAATATCTGCAATACTAGTTAACAACAAGAAAAAATGAAAGCATCAATTTTTAGGAAGGGGAAGAGAGGGATATTTGCAATGCAAAAATCAAACAAACCCAAAATTCCAAAAAGTTCTCCAGATTATACTAGGGGTAGAGAAAAGTTCTTCTGACTTAGTGAAGGTATTCAATATCTGTGAAAGTGAAGCCCTTTATCACAGATGATACTCAGAGCTGCCACAGCACCCTGCCCCATGCTTACGTGCTTTAGGTAACTGATTTTCTACTGTGACTGTAGGAAGCGAGTCCGAACACAAGCCCAATTTTACAGATGAGGAACCAAACTCAGGAAGCCATACCATCCTCTCGTCCTCAAGGTGTGGTATAAACAGGTGTCTCGGTCCCCTGTCCTAACACAAGAGATGCAGGCAACTTCTTCAGCAATGGCCACAAGTGCGCACTCAGCAAGAACTGCTCGAAGGCTTTGGAGTGAGATGCGCCAACATCACTGCCTAACGAGGGGACGCCCGCAGCCTTCCTGAGCTTCACTTTTCATCTATCAAAAATGAAGATCATGGGGCCAGCTCCGCGGCAGAGCAGTTAAGTTGGCGTGCTCCGCTTCAGCGGCCCAGGGTTTCACGGGTTCAAATCCTGGGCGCGGACATGGCACCGCTCATCAGGCCACATTGAGGTGGTGTCCCACATGCCATAACTAGAAGGACCCACAAATAAAATATACAACTATGTACTGGGGGGATTTGGGGAGAAAAAACAGAGGGGAAAAAAAAGATTGGCAACAGTTGTTAGCTCAGGTGCCAATCTTAAAAAAAAAAAAAAAAAAAAAACACCAGTGAAGATCATAATCCCCACACCCTCCCTACCTCCCAGAGACCAGAGAATGTACCGTCAGATGCTACGCCTAGGCTGCTTGGCTCACCGGCGTGGGTGACAGGAGTGGGCCCAGTGTGCTTGACATGGTGGAGTCACCCAAGATCCGGCAGGGTGGAGGTCAGGGAATGAAAATGAGGCCTTCGGGGCAGGTTCTCTCACTCTCCTGCCTCTCCCCCTGCCCTCTAGCCCCTGGGAGGCCTCAGCCACTTCACTCCACCAACGCCCCCTTCGTAAGAACCTTCCACCCAGTCCAACTCTGTTATCTGTAACAGACTCCTAAATATGCCTCGTGCATTCCAAATTTGGCTAATGCCATTCCCTTCAATTTACCTTTACTTTCTCTACAAATGTCTCAGACCCTGGCTGCTCTCCCAGGCTCAGATCAAATCCATTCCACTTCCACAAAACTGTCTTGGTCTCCAGCCCCATAAGCCCCTGAAATCCCAAACATTTACTAACCTGTTACATTCCCCAGTTGGCCTTTAGGTATTCTGCACTCCACAGCAGTCCTACAACAATGCAGGTATGCATGCATTCGCCCATCCATCCATGCATCCACCCATCCATGCAACTACTCACCCATCCATGCATCCACTCAATAAATATTATCAATCACCTGCCATATGCTGGGAACTGTCCCACCACTTCCCTTTTCCATTCTCTTCCCGTCTCCAAGATGGCTATTTCCCACCTTCTACTCTCCCTCAAACCTCTACCACTCACTCCCTCAGCAATCTCACCCAGTCTCATAGCATTAGGTACCACCTTAGTCACTGAGACCCGCCCTGACCTCTCTCCTACACTCCAGGTTCCAACACCCAATACCATCTCCACTTGGGTGTCTAACGGGCAACTTAGTGTAGCCAAATCAGAACTCCAGATCCCACAGAAAACCCTATGGCCTGCTTCTCCCAGTTTTTCCCATCTCAGTAAATGACTCACCCACCTGTGCAGGCCACAAACTTCGGAGTCATCTCTGTCTCCTCTTCGTTTTGCTCCATCCCGCCATGTCCATCCAGCAGCAGACTATTGGCTCTACCTTCAAAACCTGCTGCCTCTCTGCCCTCCACACTACAGCGCTAGTCCAAGCCCCTGTGGTTCCAGTGGGACAAAGGACAGCCTCCAGTAGGTCGACCTGCTGCCACTCTTGGCTCTGTATATTCTTTGCACAACAGCCAGAGTGATAGTTTTAAAACACGAGACCACGACAGAACCCTCCAAAGGCCGCTGAACATCCCCTATTGGATTTCCTGCTACGTCCTCAGGGCATACAAGCCCTCCGTGATCCGGCCTCTGCCCGACTTCACCTGTTGCCACTCGCCTCCACCCTCACTGGCTTTCTTGAAAATTTGTCAAATGCACCAACACAGGACCTCTGCCCTGGTGGCCCTTCTGCCTGAAAAGCCGCCGCTCCCCTCAGTGACTTACCCGCCTGCCTGGCACTCCTCTCCCTCCTACCCCTTCAGAGCACTTATCACAACCTAACATTGCTTTAAATATTTATTTTGTTCATTTTTCACCTGTTTCCTCCACCAGAAGATCAACTCCACAAAAGCAAGGATTTGGCTATTTGGTTTGATGCTGTATTCCCAATGCTAAAATAATGCAGAGACAGGGTCGGGCCCAGTGGCTGAGTGGTTAAGTTCACGCACTCCACTTCGGCGGCTTAGGGTTTGCCAGTTCAGATCCCGGGCGTGGAGCTATACGCCACTCATCAAGTCATGCTACGGCAGCATCCCACATACGAAGCGGAGGAGGATTGGCACAGATGTTAGCTCAGGGCCAATCTTCCTCTCCAAAATAATAATAACAATAATGCTGGTACATAGCAAGGACTTGATAAATATCTACTGAATGAATGAATGAGTCCTGCCTAGTTGTTTCCTTACTAGATATGTCTGATCTCCCCTCACCTGAGGTTGAGCAGCCTATGACCAGGGGCAGCATCGTGTTCATCCTTTCATCTTCCTACGCCTCCTGGCCCGGGAGCCAGTTACAAGAGCAGGTACAGGCCTGGGAATGACAATCAGGCTGCACGATCAATGGGAAGTGCTGCCTGGCATGATGTGACGAGAAGGACCCAGAGGCCAGTCTAGGTATAGCATTATCGATTTCTGATGTGGGCCAAGGGCCGGAGGTGGGAAATAAAAGTGCAGTCTTTGGGGCTGCCAAGCCTGTTAACCCGGGGATCCTTGAGGCTGGAGAGAAAGCTGAATTGGCAGGGCAGGGCAGGCCAGTCCTGGCCAGTCCTCAGGTTTGGGAAGCTAAGGAGATAGGCCACTAACCCACAGGGCAGCAGATGCCAGTGGGCCCCAGGATACAGGTGATGCTGCCCCATCAGCCCTCCGCCCCTGGAGAGACCCTCAAGCCCACCATCTCGGCCATTACTCCACAGCACTTGTGGCTCATGCAAGACACAGAAGCTGAGGGGAGCAGCCACTGAGCTAAATGTCTCTCAGACCTGGGGACAGAGGCAGAAATGGCCCCACATAACTTAGAGTGGGCCACTTTGGCCTTTTGATGTGACTCTTGGCATCTGATAAGAGTTCCACAGACACTTATCCAGGAGGTCTAGCCACTCCTTCCTGCAGGAGACCAGCCTGGATGTAACAGGAGGGGCAGGCCCTGGGGTGTTCTGCACAGCCATGCTATCCCCTTGCTCCCAGCCCCCCACCAGGCACAGAAACAGTCAAGCTGCTGGGGCACATGCCCTACATCCCCCTAACCTGGGGCCACCACACTGCCACCTGCTCCTCCCTGCCAGCAGGGTGAACTCCCAGAAGGCCCTCCCTTGCAGTCTCCATCCTGGCCTGCAGCTCCCTGGCTGGACAGTGCTCCGGCCAGCAGGGGGGCTTGTGGTCACTTGGGGACAGGAAGGCTGAAACCCCTTTTCCTGTTCTTCTCTTTCAAAGTTGGCAGACCTGACCTCTTTCATAACATTATTTTAGTGACCGAAGCACTTTTGCATCTGAGACTTTCCGCAACCACTTTGTGGAGCTGGTCTCAATGGCCCCACTTTCAGGAAATGGAGGTATTTGCTCCCTTCTCGCAGGGTAAGCAGCGGCAGGAAAGCCAAAGGCCCCGTTTCCACGCCCAGAGGAGCGAGCCCTCCCGCACCCACGACAGAGCTGGGAAGAAAGAACCAGCCATGCAAAAGCCAAAAAAGGAACCCTTTCTCTCCAGAGATTATGAAATCAAAGAGCATTTTGTTGCTTCTTGGAAATTACTCTCCTTATGACTTGGAGGCCACACAATTCAACAGGGCTTCCATCATCATCATCATCATCATTATTAAAACATTTGGTTTAGTTCCCGCCTCCTTTTCGAACTTTCACACAGAGAACACAAGCGTTTACCTGCGCTCACCCAGGACCGGACGAGCAGGTCGCGCAGGCTTCCAGCCCCCTCCTTCCCGGGGCTTGGCTGCAAGACTCCCGCAACATCTCGAAATCCCCCCAGATCTGCGCGGTCACTGTGGGAAGGAGGCCGGCTCTGACAAGCCCAGGCAAGCCCAGGCAGAGCCCGCTTCTGGTCCTCCCTCCTGCGCTCACCACCCGGGCCCGGGGAGGGAGAAGCCTCTCGCCCGCCCAGATCCGGGGAGTCAGCTCGCACCCGGGACGGGGCGCCGGCATCTCCTCCACCAGAAAAGAAAAAGGGCCAGGTGGGGAAAAGAGGAGCGGGTGGGGGCGGCGCCAGTTCGCGCGGGATTGGGGTGGCGGCGCAGCGGGCGCCGCGCTCACGTCGGGGGATGGGGTATGCTCACTGCCGGAGGCCAGGGCCGCCGCGTCGGGGCGCGCTGCAGGGCAATGGCGCGCGCCTGGCCGTGGAACAGGTTTCCCGGGCACAGGGTCCGGGCCCCGTGCCCCTCCACCGCCGCCGCCTGCCCGGGCTGGCGCTTCCCTGGCCAGAGCGCCGACTTTGCGCAGCGCCCCTCGCCTCCGCCCCCCGCCGAGTCCCGGGGCGCGCCTCCCAGAGCCGATGTCCGGGGCTCCACGGCCATCGCGACTCTTGCGCAGGCTCCTCGCCTGTCCGCGGCGGGACCGAAGCCCAGGCGGGCCGAGGGGGTCCTGTAAGAAAGCAAACGGAAACCACGGGGACGCTCGCCGCGACGCCCAGCCCCCGGGCCTCTCCCCGGGAACAGGGAAGAAGAAACCTGCGTCCCGGGCGCGGGTGACGGACGTGTCCCGGGTCTGGACCTGTCGTCTCCGCGACATTGTCAGCCTGGAGAGCTCAAAGGTCCCACGCAGCCCCAGATTCAAGGAGATAAGAAAGGACTTCTAGTGCCAGAAACGGGCACCCCACACGGCCACCGCCTGCCGGCCCGGCGCCCCGCCCCCACTCACCGCGCCCCCAAGTTCCGGCGCTGCGGGCCGCTGGGGTGACACCGTTCCGTGCGGCCCGGGGCGCAGGAGCAGGCGTGGGGCACGGCCGAGGCGCGGCGCTGGGGAGCCGGGTGCTCCAGGCGGGGTCCGTGAGCTGGGCAGGGCCCTGGCGAAGCGCCCCGCACCCGCCTAAAGGTTCCCAGAAACAAAAACGCGGACGCGGGTCCCAAACTTGAAGTCGCAGGAAGGCACCCGGCAGCGCGGGAGATGCACACCTCCCATTTCTCGCCGTTTCCGCGCTACCCTGCGCGTGGAGCTGGGCGCCCTCGGGTTTGGTGGGGACGCACGTGCAGGGGCGGCCCTGAAGACCCCGCCCCCCGCCCCGCGGTGCGGAGAGGGGTCTCCAGCCGTCATCCCGCCCCCAAGCATCACAGATCCCACCCAGTCCGACCTGGTCGGGACTTCGGGACCTTTGGGAGACAAACCACCACGCAGCCCGCCGCGCCCAGGTACGAAGGGGCAAGGAGTCCCCGGGTCTCCCTCTGCTCCAGGTGTTTCTGCCCTCGGGGTTGCTGTAGGACAGAAACCGCTTCATCAGGGGCAGACCCTCCTCGCAGACGCACACCTACACACACTCGCGGGAGTCTGCGGGATGCGCCGGCGACCCGGCAGGACGGTCTCCTCCACACGGACAGAACTGAAGGGCGAAGGCCTCCTTGGCCTCAGGAGGCAAGGGCTCCCTGCAGGGAGAGCGGAAACTCATTCGTCCTGCACTGAGAGAAAACGGTCCTGAGAGGAGAACTGGAAAGGGCTGTTGCCAGATGTGTAATCCCATTTGGGCACACCGGAGGGAGCGAGTGGAGGCCAGCTGTGAGCTGCCGCATCTGACACATTAGGATCCCGAAGCTCACAGGGATGAATCTGTGTGGAGCTCGTGTTTCCCAGATTTTTCCAGGGATTCTAGAACAGTCCTAGAGAAGGAGAGAGCCAGCCGGCAGGTGAGAATGTCCAGGTACAGGCGGATGGCTGCAGGTCAGGCCTACCTTTCCCCACCACCAGCAGTGCGGGGGAGGGGACAATTCCCCACCGACCCTTGCCTCCCGGGGTGGCCATCACCACAGGGTAGATGGGGTGGAGAAAGCCTTCAAAGATCCTCAAAGACTCAGGAGGATTAAGTGAGGCAGGTGGCTCTGGAGGCAGCACGTGGCGAGGGAAGGGAAAAGCAGGTTCTAAACCTGGCTCACTGTGTGACCTTGGGCAGTAATAATAATAACAGCTAACTTGCCCTGAGCACCCTGTGTGCCTGCCATCATCCTAAACCCTGCCCAGGGAATCTCACCCAATCCTCAAAACAGTCCTGGGAGATGTCCTAGCACTGCCCCATGTACAGATGAGGAAATGGAGGCTCAGAAACTTGGCTGCCATCACAAGGAGGAGAGAGAGGTGGAACCAGGACCCAGACCCATGCCTTTCAGATCCCCGAGCCTCACTCTTTAAGCACCTGCCATCTTGCCTCAATTTGGCAAATTGCTTAGCCTCTCCAGGCCCCGGTGTCCTCATGTGTGCAGACAGCGGTCAGGCTCATGGTATGGATTCAATAAATAATATGGAATGAATGAGTGAATGAATGAATGACTACCCCCCCCCCCCCAGGGCAATTGTAAGGACTGCGCTCGAGAGAGCGTCTGCACACACGGGGCACTTTCAGGCATTCACCAGCTCATCTAAGGAAACTCTGGGGCACTGGGCCCTGAGGAAGCTTGGGTTCTCTGCTCCATGTGTGTAGACACCTGGCAGCATTCACGTCCGAGAGCCTCTGCCCTCCTTTGTCCTTTCCTCTTGCTTTCCTTTCAGAGCCACCAAAATGCCTTGACCTGGACAGCTAAAAAGGTAAATGAATGCATTTGGAGACACCAGACTTTGGCAAACAGAGAACTGAAAGAACCAGATTCCTATCCACTTTTCCATCCAGAGAAGCCAAACCACATCCAGGCCTCATTTTTTTTTCTTTAAGCATTTTTGTGTGCGTGAGGACTGTTTTACAAAGGCCTCTCTCTGTGCCAAAGTCTGTCTCGTCTCTCCCCAGCCCTGCCAGGTGCACAGCCCATCTGTGTTTCCTGTAGAACCCATCCAGCACGTGGACACACATACGCCCCTGACTCACAAGCCGGAGAGCAACGGAGGTAGCGTGGACAAGCCTCAACTTCTGCCCCCCGCGGGGCGCTGCACCTGCGTCCCCAGACCCAGCGGTGAAACAGGGCACCCAGGAGGCATTCAGGTCTTAATTTAACCACAGAGACCCGAGGAGTCCTGCTTCCCAGTCAACCTACCGATGGATCGCGTCCAAAAATGTGAATGACAAAAAGGAAAACAATGTCCTGGGATTAGATCATGGTGATGGTTGCACAATTTCGTGAATATAATAAATCCCACTGAATTGTACACTTTTTAATGGTAGAATTTATGGCATGTGAGTTATATCTCAGGAGAAAACAAACAAACAAAAAGGAGCCCCCATTCCTCCTTACTGGCTAGACATACTCGGCATGAAGCCGGCAGGACGGAAAGCCCTGCACCTTGGTCAACGCTACCTCCCTCACTTAGAAGATGGAATCCTGGTTGTGGGTGACTCAGGAGGGTCAGCATCCTATGGCTGCAGTGGTTTTCAGCCAGGGCCCTGAGGCCAAAGCAGCCTGTCTCTTAGGCCCTTGAAGATGGGACTGTAGCTGCAGGGCCTCGGCCCGGACCCTGCAGAAGAAAGGGGTCTTGCGGGCTGGGGCTTTCTTCATTGTGGCCCCAACATCAGAGACTTACTCCGTGGGGTGATGGTGTACAGGCCAGTGTGTATTATGTGGCATGGGTGGGGGGGTGCTCCAGGGAGCCCATCTAGCACTGACAAAGCCCTGTGTCGGCAGGCACAATTTTCAAGGCCCCATCTCTGAAGAAGGAAGCCCAGCTTGGTGAAGAAATCACCACCGGATTAAAAATAACAAATAAATGTAAAAAGTCAAAATGCTGTACAAAGGGGAGAATTGCTTTGAAGTATTTCCTCATTGCTATGCTGACTAGACATTTTAACTAAACATAGCTTTAAGGTTCTGTTTATTTTCCAGCTCCTAAAGTCACTCTTTGGCTCATGCATCAAATCAACCTTTTTCCTAACTGAAGACAGAGAGAGATCAATTCTTAGGAGTTATCTATACTTGGATGGACCGATCTACAGCTATTTAATACATATACATACATACATTATTTAGCTCCCATTTGTCAAGTCCTCATTATGCGTGTGACAGACTTACGGGTTTTGCAGACTTGCTCTCCTTCAATCCCCAGCAGCTCTATGAAACCCCCGGTGTTAGGCCCGTTTAGCAAGTGATAAACTGAGTCTCAGAGAAGCTTCAGTCCCTGTCCTTGTCTAAGGTCCTACAGCTTGAAAGCGACAGATCTGGGATTTGGACCTCTGCTGAATCCCAAAGGCAGGGTGGTTAACCTCAGAACACAGGAGCATGATTTGACAAGGTGGCCTGCACCGTGGGAAACTCCTCCATTGTTATTGGAACAAGTGAAAACTCCCCGACCTTGCGTGCGCGGAGAAGTGAGACTTGCCCAGGTCTCTTGGCTGCTGCAGCTTTCAAAACTACACGTGACTGGTACCTCCCATTTCTCCAGCTTAAAGTGGAACATAGGGCCAATATCCTATTAATGTCCAAACCGTTGATGGTCCCAAGGTCCCGCCCTAAGGACTGTGGGAAGGTCGAGGATCCCAGCTGCCCAAGAATTCTGGGAGCAGCAGCTCACCCCAAGGATGCCAGTCGTGGCTATCACCCCCACAGTCCCTTCAGAAGAGATCTGGGACGGTCAGGTAGCAATCGGCTGGTTTTCCCAGGTGCAGTTGGGCAGGGTGATGGAGGAGGATGTCCCCCTGTCCCAGACAGGGCCAACCCACAGCCCTCCATGTCACAGCTCTTTGGAGACATGAGTCTTGCCGATCCACACATTGGACGATTCAACAAACACAGATTAGGGGTCTCTCTTGGCCAAGCTCAGGCCCAAGTGCTTGCAATAGTATCTTGTTTAATCCTCACAGTAACCCTAGGCTTTTATTCTCCCTGTCTCACAGATAAAGAAACTGAGGCACGGAGGGGTTAGAGAGCTCACCCAAGGTTATGCTGCTAGTTAGCAGCAGAGCTGGGTTGTGAGCCCAGGCAGTCTGGCTTCAGAGTCTGCTGTCAATCACCAACAAATGCTGCCAGGGTGCTGAGTCCACCCCTTCTCTAGGACTTCCTAGTCCCTGGGGTCGGCTTCAGATGATTTCGTTCCCCAGACACCTCGCCCTTTGAGGTGCCCTCCCGCCTGTCGGCTGACATCGGGGCCATCCCAGTCTATCCGAGACGGTCCAAGGTCTGGGACTCCACCTTCTTTTCCCCCAAGGCCCATTGGCCCCACTTCAAATTTCCAGTCACCTTCTCACTGGGGGAGGGAACGCAGCTCACCTGGCTACAGCCCTTCCTCAGCCAAACACTTCCAGCCTTCCCCTGTCCTCAGAACCCAGTGTCAAAGGGACGCTTGAGTGGTTCTTCCTGTGACAAAGACGGCCTGCTCCAAGACAGCTGCAGGACTCCCCTGCCAGAAACAGAAGCAGCACACAACTTTTAAAGAGCAGTTTCTCTTGCTAAATAAAAAGGGCTGGGGGGCCCAGCCGGTGGCGCACTGGTTGAGTTCGCACGTTCCGCTTCTCAGTGGCCGGGGTTCGCCGGTTCGGATCCCGGGTGCGGACGTGGCACCACTTGGCAAACGCCATGCTGTGGTAGGCATCCCGCATATGAAGTGGAGGAAGATGGGCATGGATGTTAGCTCAGGGCCAGTCTTCCTCAGCAAAAAGAGGAGGATTGGCAGTAGTTAGCTCAGGGCTAATCTTCCTCAAAAAACAAAACAAAAAAGGGCTGTTCTATCTCACCAGGTACTGTCCCACAACATATAGGATAATATCTATTACATAATATATAACACATGTCATATTATATGTAATATACATGTTTAAGTATATATATATTATCTATTGCTCAAGATTGGTGGTTCTCAACTTTTTTGGGGTCACATAATCTTTTGAGAATCTGATGAAAGCTATTAACTCTTTCCAAGAAAAAAAAACACCAACTTACATCACACAAAAATTTATGTACAGCTTCAGAAGATTCCTCACCTGTCTCCTCCCGACCCCCTCCTCCCGACAAATTTAAAAGGTTAAAAACATCGTGGTGCCATCCAACAGAACTTCTGTAAGGCTGGCAAAGTTCTGTCTTTGCTGTCCAATACGGCAGCCACCAGCCACATGTGACTATCAGAATAACGAACTAAATAGATGTAACGTCCAGTTCCTCAGTGCATCAGCTCGTGTGGGTAGCAGCTACTGTAGTTGCCAATGCAGCTCTGAAGTCTATCCTGAATCATCAGAAAATTGCAAACCTGGGCCGTGTCACAGGTTGGCTTGTTGTCACTGGCTTACACTGAGGGGCCTTATGAGAAAGAGCCCTAGGACGGCAGCCTCCCACCACTGTGCTTGCTGTAAGACACTGTTCATTATGAAGCATAATAGGTTTGGTAAGAGTCTCTCCATGACAATCTACTTTTGGGGTCTGGGATCCCCAAATGCAACATGGTAAGGAGACTTTTATTTGGCCACCAAACTGTCCTTCAACTAATTGTTGAAGGTTGAAGGTCTTTCAGTATCAAGCCAGCCAATGTGCTTTGGTTATAATGCAGCTGTCTGCATATGAACACGAGTGTTTGAAAGGTAGTGGTGTGACTGAGTTTGGGCAAAATATTTTGAAGTCTAATGGGTCACTTGTGCCAGGCAGCCCAGTGCTGAATGCCTGGCAGCTCACAATAGGACCAGAACTAGATCTGGTTAGCCCTGTAGACTAACGGCCTGGGGGCTGTCTCTGCAATCGCTGGAGACAAGAGGACAGGCACCCTGGCCCTGCCGCTGCAGCTGCACCTGCTGAGACCTATGCAGAAGCGATGGGCTTCCCCTGAGACTGTGAGCCCTTCAAACTCTGAAGGCTGCTAGGCCAGTGCCACCTGCTTTTTGCTGCCATGAGCCTGAGTCTGACAGATCCTCTTTCTTGCCTACTGGGTCCAGGGAGGCAGCATTAAAGCTTGCTTTCGTTCTTCTCATACCTTGTCAAGGTCACCGATGACCTCCACATTGCTAAACCCGATGCTCAATTCCAAGTCTCCATTTTGCTTGACCCATCAGCATCATTTGATACAACTGGTCCCTCCCTGATCTTTGAAACTCTTTTTTCCTTTACGTTTTTGGATACCACCCTCTCTTGGTTCTCACCTACTTCACCGACCACTTCTTATCAGTCTCCTCTGCCCGTTCCTCCCCTCACCTCTACTGTCCTGGGGTTGGAGGACCCCACGGCTCCACCCATCCGTACACACTCCCTGGGTGATCTCATCCAGCCTCATGGTTTCTCAATCACATCTGTACGCTGACAACTCCCAAATTAATATATGTAGCCACAACCTCTCTGCTGACCTCCAGACTCTGATGGCTGACTGCCAATTCAAAGTCTTGTGGATGTGGACTAGGAATCTGAAAAATGTGATATATGCCAAATTAAAGTCCTGATTGCACCCTGACTCCCCAGATGCTCCTCTGAAGTCTCCCCCGTCTCCATACGTGGCAACTCCATCCTTCCTTTTGCTCTGGCAAAAGTCCTTGCAGTTCACCCCTGACCTGCGTCTCTCTCCCTCTACATTCAGTCCATCAGCAAATCCTGCTGGCTCCACCTTCAAAATACAGCCTTTCTCGGCTTTTTCTCATCATATCGTGTCTTCCACTCGTGTCCAGCCACTGTCACTCTCGCCTGGATGACTGATGTTCAAGCCACTGTCATTCTTGCCTGAATGTCACGGCCTCCCAAATGGCCTCACCTGGCCCTCGTTCCCCAAAGTCTGTCCTCAGCGCAGCATCCAGGAGTGACCTATTTAGAATGAAGTTTGATCACATCGCTCCTCTGCTCAAAACCCTCCAGCAGCTCCTCACTCAGCTCAGAGTCAAAGCCAAGGTCCCTTCTGTGGCCTAAAAAGTCCCTTCTGTGACGCGACTCCCAACTAACTTTACCTCATTTCTCGCTGCTCTTTTTTGCTTACTCTGTTCCAGCCACACCGGCCTCCTTGCTGATCTTGGAACATACCAAGGAGTCCTCTCCTCCTCCCTGAAGCCAAAGAGACAGCACTAGGCCCCTGGGGGCTGACATGCACCATCATTAGTCACCACCTCCTCATCACCACGCGCAGTGAGGACCAGAGGCTGTAACCATCAAGCCAGTTTCCATCCCGGGCCCCCAGGTAGACATCAGAGTTAACAATACTAAGGAGGTCTTTAGGCCCATGGTTATAATACTTATTTCTTACAGCCAAAGGGCTATAGAGGCAACAAGTAACAATCCTCTCCTCATTCAGAAAATATTAACATAAACACTTTATTTCTATTGCAGATAACCACATTATTCTATTGATTAATCAGAAAGAAGAAAATAAAGGAAAAGTAACCCATGCCAGTAGGAAATGTGGATTGTTCTATGGAAGATAGGGTCATCCATTGGAGTGTGGGTTGAAGAGCATTCCAAACCTGGGCTTTGCGATCGTGGAGCAGGGAATGCTATAGAAATGCCAAGGACGGCTGGGGCCCTTGCAAAACAGGGCAGATGTTAAAGAGACACAGTAATTGGTGGACTGGGCTGTCCATCTAAGGTAAGTCTACTCTAAAAGATAGCTGAGGTCAACAGAAAAAGAGCCAGAAAGAAAGGCACCCTGATCCTAGAGTATATAAATATTTCCACCATGAGGACCATGGGGGTGATTCTCATGAATGATGCAGGTCAGTGTTCTCGGTGGAACCCCTTTCTCTCTACCCAGCCACATCAACACTCATCCTCAATCCTTTTGGCAGACGCTACTAAGTTATGTACTTGTAGTCATTGCCCCTTCCATTGTAGTTAGCTGCGGATTAGCACCACCCAGGTCTTTCTAGAAATAGGAAGAAGGCTAACACAGCCCTCAGAAAACTGTGTGTTGCAGGCATCCAGATTCCTGGCTGAAAGATATAAGGTACTCACAGGACTTCTTTGCTGGAGCCGTGTCTCTTCCACTTGCCTAGAGGGAACACCTTGGGAGAGCAGCCACTTTCGGCCTCCAGGGACCTGAAGAAGCCAAGAAAAAAAGCAGTTATGAAAAGCAAACTAATTCCAGGGCCAGTTGCACAGGAGGTGGCTTGGAGACCTGGCAGGTCTGCTCAAGTATCCCTCAGCAGCCTTCACTCCAACGCGGGATTTTGCTGGTAGGAACCTCTCCTTCGAGTCAAGGCACTACGGTCTTCAGGAAATGGCTGAGAGGAGCCTGTGCCTTCCAGGAGCTTATGTGCACTTGGATCCCCAATAGAATTTGCAAACTTCTAAGGCAGAAGAGAGGGACGAGATGGCTCAGACACGACACAATGTGGTGCTCAGGCTGAGCAGAGGTGCTCAGAAGAGGTTCATTGGTGACCTGAGGTGCCTCTGAACCTACGGGGTGGCCTGGGAGGCCATCAGGGTGAAGGCGAGCATCAGAGACAAGCTTGGCCCATTTCACAATGCTATCACGAACCAGCCTTATCTTACTCCTCCCGTTTTGAAGGAAAAACAAATTTGTACTTTAAAAAAAAAAACAACACTTATGCTTGGTTCACTCCCTGTTGTGAAATAAGCACTTATTTATTACACTGTTGTGAAATAAGCGCTTATTTATTACACAGAAGGAAGCCTGATATCCCTGAGACCTTGAATGGACCATTTACAACCTTTGGGCCGCAGGGCAAGGGGACCTTCAGACCACAAAGGGGCGATGCCTTGCGGTGGCAGGGCCCTTCAGGAGGCATGAGAAACCCAGGCTACGGCCATGTCTTAGCAGACTTGGGAGTTTACAAAGTGAAGAAATAACAAAACAGGGTTAGAAAAATGCACATTTTAAACATTTAAAATTTAAAAACAGAACGCTTTTAGCGCGCACACACACAATCCAAATACAATAGAATCATGCTGTTTACTAGAAACGGTGTAAAAAATCTGAAGGCCCTTTTTGGACAAGAAGTTCAGGCCAAACACCCCACCCCCCAGCAGAGAGACCCTGAAGCAAGATGCCCCAAGAAAGCGAGCACCAGGCCTTCAGCCGGCCCTGCAACGGGACCCTGAGCCCCAGGACTGGATGGGGCAACTAGCGATCCTTCTAAACTCAAGTGACCCAGCACCCTGGCCCAATCTCCAAGTGTCCACTCTTGACCTGGACTTGGCTCAAAGAGGAAGGAGGAAAAGGCAGAACCGGGACCGTCAGCTCTATCATTGAAAAGTGTCCCCACGCCTTGTTGCTTTGCCACCCTTCTGTCACACAGTGAAATGCTGTTGATTTTTAAAGGCAGGGACCATATCCTGTACTGTTCGTACCTACTCACAGCCCACATTCTCACGTCAGTGGATGCCCAATAAATGCTTGTTGGGTTGAACCGAATTATCAAGAAGGTACCATCAAGAATTCTTTGGGGGGCCGGCCCGGTGGCACAGCAGTTAAGTGTGCATGTTCCGCTTCTCGGTGGCCCGGGGTTCGCCGGTTCGGATCCCAGGTGCGGACATGGCACTGCTTGGCACACCATTCTATGGTAGGCATCCCACGTATAAAGTAGAGGAAGATGGGTACAATGTTAGCTCAGGGCCAGGCTTCCTCAGCAAAAAAGAGGAGGACTGACAGTAGTTAGCTCAGGGCTAACCTTCCTCAAAAAAAAAAAAAAAAAAAAAAGAATTCTTTGGCAAATCTAATGATTTTACACTGCCAGAGAGTCAAAAAGCTATAGGTTGCCTATGGTCCCATTTGAGACGACCCTTGTCAAATTTCTTGGTTAACTTTCTCCACTCCTGTCGAGTCAACCTAAACACCACCTACATCACCACAAGGGGTCTGGGAGCTCCCCTGCTCTGCAGCAATGACCTCGACAAGCATTTGCTGTGTACACACGAACAGGTACAACACAGCCTTGTACTGCCCTAAACTGGAAGACTAAGGAGTTAGCACCTGTATGGTCTACACAATCTACGAAACAAGAGCAATCGATAAAATGTATTCTACCATGGAGAAGAGAGATAATCTCATGATACAGGAAAACAGGCTGTCTTCTGGATAATGGCAGAAATTCCCCCCGAGTAGCTGAAGGGTCTGAGCACGCAGCATTTTAGCTTCAAGGGTCTTCAAATCGGTTCTACTCACAACACCAAATCAACGTTAAACAAGAGGAACTGTTTGGGAGGAAAGAAGGAACTCACTGGGCACAAAAGTCAGCTGAGATTCCAAATAGAAACCCCCAAACAAGGACAAAAAGGCAGACCACCAAGGGAGAGGCTGGTAGGAAAGAAGGGGACCAAACCCAGTAGCTGATCTAAAGGTCTGGGTTTGCGACCATCCTTCTGTAACACTCCTCAAGCAAGAGACAGGCACAAGGCCCAACATGAAACCCAAGGGTGGCCTGAAGACCTTGCAAATGGACCAGAATGCTCAGGTCAGCATTGCTGGTGGCCCATCCCAATTGTCCTTTGGTACCCTGTTCAAGGATGGCCAGCCTTCCCTGGGAATATTGCTAAATTTCCTCAGATAACAGATGTACAAATGACGCATCAAGCCTACTCAAAGAAAGGATGACAATGAAAGCCACAGCGCACCCCTGTAGTGTGTTCAACAGAACTTTATAAGAGGCCAAAATGAAATGTGGAGTGACCTAGGAGATGACACACATCCTGAATGGCAAGGAAATTTCTAAGTAAACTTTCTGTTTTTACCAGTTGAAAATTCTTCTGCCTGAACGCATGGAACTAAAGAAAGCTAAAACCCGGGCTCTGCAAACCACCCAGCTGGGCAGGGATCACTGGGTCTCCTTCCTGCGTCCTCTGGAGCCCTCTGCTGGAGGAATTCTGAATTACAGCACCAATAACCCACCCGGGAGCCCCCAGACTCAAGGGGCCCGGATTTCGGAGAATTGAAAAGAGGAACAACTATAAGGAAGTCCCATGTTTTCTCCTCTTGGGACTTTGTACAGTGAGAGTTGTAAACCAGAGGTGCTGCAAACCTGCTCAAGGGCACTGTTCAGATCTCAGAGCAGAACTACCTGACGTCCTGTAAATTATGCCTCTGGTTCTTAGCACCCCAGGTCCATGTCACCTCCCAGTGCCCAATTTCCTTACCTTGTCCTACTTCACCTGAGTTGGGGCGCCTGATGGGTCCAGGGCTGATGATTTCATCCTTGTCCCACATGCCAGGTCGGAACATTTTCCAGGGACTCCCAGGTCTGCCCTGAGCGTCCCATGTCCTTGGGCAAGTCAGTTAATCTGTGAGCCTCACCATCCTCATCTCTGACTCTGGGCCTTGGACCAGATGATTTCTAAGTATCTTGCATTTGTGGGGTTAAAGTTCACATGCACAAAAGGAAAGACAAGTTCTGATCCTTAGTCAGATCTGCAGAGAATGAGAATAGCAGAGAAACTGCTGACTCTGCATTGGGCGAAAAGCAAAAACAGTCCATGGGGAAGTGTCATGGGTCAGGATCCGGCCCTGGAGCCCTGGGATCCCAGCAGCACCTGGAGCCTTTTCCTGCCCTCCCCCACCTGCCTCCCTGGTACTCCTTGTCTTCGGGATTCAGGGTGCTGCCACCTTGCCAAGAGAGCCTCACCAGTGTCCCATTTCCAGTCGATGCCCAGGCCCATCATTTGTTCTCAAGGCTCTCACCTTTTCTTATGTCTTAGTCCCCGGAGAAGCCACAGGGACTTGGCTGGCCAGTTGGCTCTGCCTGGAGGGTGCAGGCAGTCCCCCGGAGAGCGGCCTGTCCCCATGTCCTTGGCAGGAAGACTGGCAGCCGCAGTGCTGTGCCTGTCCCAGATTGAACAGGAGGGCTCCTGGTGTCATTCTGGACAGGCCTAAAAAACTAATGACATCAGCACAGAGCAGGGTCTGCAGGCCCCACGACCCCTGCCATCCCCTGCCCCTTCTCCGCTTCGACCTCCCTCCCCCTCCCAGCGCAATGCAGGCTCCCAGGGCAGCCTCCAAGGTGAAGACACTAACGCGAGCGATGGGAAGAAGCGGCCGCCAGTGCCAAGGCTCTTCCTCTGGAAGTCCAAGGTCCAGGTCAGTGAGAGGCAACAGTCTCTGAACTGTGTCACACCCGTGAACATCCCCAGAAGAGCAGGCTCCTGTGCGCAGCGTGACATCACTTCCCATCTTGTCGGGAGACAGGGCTTCTGCCAAGGAACCAGCCCCTGGGGACAAGTCGGGCAGCATTTTCATGCTGCTGGCATAATTGAGACCTGCACCAGAGGCTGCTATTCAGGGCACAAGGTGCAGTCTGGACCCCCTGGGGCTGCTCTCTCTGTCCCTAGGCCCCTGGCTCCTGCCACCTAAGCCCCTCACATCACTCAGGAGGGTTAGCAGCTACTGCACCCCACCCACATTTGCTGGCTCAGCTTCCCTCTGCAGGGGAAGCTGGACTTCCTCTGGATCCAACCTTAACCTTCCACAACTAACTCCATGACACTGGGGACAAAACCTTCTCCCACCGCCTTTGTACCCCAAACTGTCTCCATAGGCTTTCCCAGGAATCCTGAGCGGGAGCATTCAAGGGTGTGGTCCCAGAGGGTCCCTTTGCCCTCACCTAAGAGGATGCCTGAGTTGGGAATCCTTTCCTTACCCCCCAACTGGAATGGCAGCCCCGCTTTCCAAACTGGCGTCCACGATTCAGAGTAGGAAGTCCAAAGCCAGGGCCCTGGACACAGCTTCCCTGGGTTCCTCGCAAAGCCTTCACCCTCCTAACCCTTCCGAGGAGCTGCACATCTTGTTCTTCTCCCGAGGTTCCCAAAAATCACGCCCCACACCTGGTGGGTGCTCCATACAGAAGCATTTGAGAAAACGGCCCGTCCAAGGATGCCCGCCCGAAGGCAGTCGGTACAAGAGCTCTGTTTGTCATCCTTCGCGCCGTGGAAGACTGCCTCCTGCCCCAGCCCTCAACTCCGGTGAAGTAGAGTCGTGAAGAAATCGTTGTATAAACAAAGCCAGAGTCTCACTCACGCACCAATCAGGGACGGGGTCCTGTCTCGGCGCGGGCTGCGCGCAGCCGCCGGGAGGTGGCCGTCGGGACGTGAGCGCGCCGCCGGCAGCCCGGAGCAGTGGTGCAGGGCCCCTGCGCCGCCCGCCGCTGCAGCCCCGCAGCCGCCAGCACTGCTGACTTGGCCCAGGAGGGCGGGGGAGGGCCCGCAGCAGCTTGGGTTCCAACTGTCCCTGCGCAAGGAGACCGAAGAACCGGCAGCACGGGCTCAGCTGGCCAAGGCTGGGGCAGTTGATGGGGTGCGAGAGGAGAGCGCTAGAGCAGCCCTGAGTCAGCACTGGTGCATTGCGAGGTGCCCAGGAGCCTCGGACCAAGACGTACACCCCGCTCCGTGCCCCTCCAGCGCACCCTCACCTAATGCCAGGACCAGGCCCGCCTCATTTTCTCCCCTCAGCAATTACTGGATAATAATAATGTGCCCCGCAGCAAGTACTCTGGGGGATGGAAAGATAGAGAATTCTTTTTAAAGACCTATCACCTCCTAGATGTTACTGTGGGGCAGGCACAAGGCCATGGGGATCTGACCTGCGGACAGCCAGGGGAAAATCTTGTCCTCACTGCCCAGTGGTTCTGACATGGGAATAGCAGGGTGTGGTGGTTGTCAGCAATGCGTTGGATTTTCTGCCTGGCAAGACCTGGGAAATGCTGGCCCCTCGCCGTCCAGGGCCAGCTCTTGCCTTACCAGCTCCTCCCAAGCTGGCTTTCCTGTTCTGTGGCCTGAGAGATGAGGGCATCCAGGGGCCTGCAGGGGCGGAGGCCCTCCCTCCGCCTATCCACCCCTGAGGGTCTGTGTCACCTTGGCTGCTTCTTCCCCGGCTGTCTTGAGTGGTCCCTTTGGTCCAGACAGCGCCTGCCTGAGGGAAGGAGCTGGGAAGCTTGTGGCAGCTTCTCGTTCAGCTCATCCTGGCAGTGTGTGCAGTTCATTTCACAAGCTCCAGTGACGTCACAGCGCTGGGCTCAGGGGTCACCTGCTCCCCCTCACAGCACATTTGTGAAGTTCCTGTCTCACCTGACCTCCCCATAGGGGACCAGAGACCAGTGGACATGGACAGGATGCTGGGGGCCAACAGCAGCATTTGCTTTGCAGTCATTGACAAGAGGTCTTTCTCTTGGCTAATTCCAGATATAAAGGAATTAATTCCAGATATAAAGGATGATTATTTGTCATCCGGGCTGGGTAGGGAGGCACTGAGTGGGAGATGAGTGTGCCTGGGCATGCCAGCCCTGTCCTCCAGCTCCCCAGGGTGGCAATGCCATGACACCTCCATCCTACTGATGAGGGGAGACTCATCGTTTGTCCAAACGGCACATCCTAGCAGCTTCCTAGAGTCGGGGGTCAAGCTCTGCCTGATGCACACAAATTCACAGATATCACGTGGTGCTGACCTCAAAGACCCCAGGGTGTGGGACCCTGATGACCTGTCTGGGTGCACTGGACATGAAATCTTTCACATCTAAGGATGGTAGTCTGAAAAATTAGAGTTCCGCATAACATTCAGGGGGTTCTGCAAACACCCGCCACAGATTTACGAGCAGAGGTCAAAGATGGTTTTAAATATACAGGGAATGTATAAAAAAATGGGTGGATCAAGACAAAGGGTTGTGAGGGACAGAATGGGGACTGCGAAAGTGGCAAGTAGAAAGACACTCCTAATTAGGGAAATAGGGGTTGCCTCTCCTAAATCCTGTAGGGCTCTCCCAGTCTAGGCAACTGTGTTGTCTAAGACCCTATAAAATATTTGTCTATGAGCCCGCATTTCTCCAAATGGCTACGGAAGCTTTGATTGGAGCACCTCTCACGCCCCAAGGAGCTTCAAAACCAGCAGCCCCAGGTGGAGTACAGGCACGGTCCTCTCCAGATGAGCCTTCAAGTCTGGCTCTACAGCAAGGACCAGAACACAGTGCAGGAACCCAAGGAGGTCACGGTGCATCGCCAGCCTCGGCCCAGTTGCTGTTTCGGGGCCTTGCCTGGATAATTTATCTGAGGGGTTTGCTGCACACCCTTCAAGCTGATTTATTGCAAGACCGAAAGTGGGTTTTTTTTGGTAAAAAGACACATTTTTGCTTGAGAAGGAATTTTGAGGAGCTCAGCCCTTCCAGTGCCTGGGACCACCTGGGTAGATGCCACGTTGGTCCTGCATAACGTCACCCCCAGTGCAGACCTGGATCCAAGCACGGCCTGTCTGGAAATGCCATGCCAGCAGTGCCAGACTGGGAGCTCTTCCAGGAGGCACCTACTGAGGCAGCAACTGGCTTTGGGGCAGCCCTTTTGCCAGGTAGGGGGGGAGTCTGGTCCCAGAGACCAGGGCTCAGGGGCCTTGGGCTGTTTGTGCCTTTCCCCAAAACAAGCTGCTGCCCAAAGTGGGCTTTCTGCTGCCTCTGCGCAATCTCCATCTGAATGAGCCCCTTATGGAGCACACCCCCAACTGCCTGGCGTCCCAGGCACCATCATTCAACACCTACTACTAACACAGAGGAAATTCATCCCTTCTGAAATGCTGCAGCCTCTGCCCCCATAGTCACAAGTCAAGTCCTTGTTTTGAGTTTCCCTCCAAAGCTCATCTCATTAAACCCAAAAAACAGAAAACCTCCACCCCCAATTAATAAGGCAGTGAAGACTGCGTCTGTGTTCCCAGAGTTCAAGGCAGACTGGAAAGATCACAGTAGAGATCAGACCCGAATTCTCCAGCCCAATTCCACAGGGCTGAAAAGAGCCAGTAACCAGACAACGCACGCACCAAGGCAAGGACCAAGCTTAAACTCCTCAGTAAGTCTGTGGAGTCCCCCGCCCCAAGCATGTGGGAGAGGGAAACCAACCCAAAGTAAGGTCCTGATTGCGTTTGGATATTGCCTGGGGCTGAGCGCTCCCCAGTCCGAGGTACCCAACGGGCTGACCCCGGGAGTGAGTATCCCTTCCTCTCTCCTCCTCCTCCTCCTCCTCCACATACTCCTCCTCCTCCTGCCTCCTCCCCATGCTGCTGCTGCGGTTCTGCAGTCACTTGAAGGAGAAAGATTTCGCAGTACGGCATTCTTAAAGCTGCAGTGTCCAAATTCTCCTTCAAACCCCAAGTGTCACAGACATCAGCTCACTTACCGGGGTCCTTTGCAGAGGGTGGGTGGGCAAGGAGATGGGGGACGGGGAGCTTGGAGAAGCCAGGCGGGCGGGAATCAGAGACTCAGACTCCAGCAAGGGTAAAGAGGAGAAGCCGACGGCACCGTGGTAGCCTCTGCAGTTGACCAGGTTGCTGGGACTGCAGCAGGACCGCAATGGAGGAGAATTTTTTCTTTTATCATAAAACCTCCACCAGAATTTCCTCCACAAACTTATATTCATTGTAGCTTAATTAAAACAAAGTGCAAACACGAAACCAACATGAGAATTAAAAAAATAATAATTCAAACAGCATTTAAAAATTATTTTGAAAAATGTACTCCTGTTAGCAACTGACTCAGCTTTCCCTACACTGCTCGGCTGGAAAGCCATGCGGGGAAGGACCTGGATGAACTTCACGGAGCCCAGAGTTTCTGCAAAGTGCAGGGAGAGGGCCACAGCTTCTTGGAGGAGAAAGCTTTTTAAAAACCCAAAGAAAAGGGGATATTTCTGCTCTCTGCCTAGGGAGCAAGTAAAACAAACTGATCTAGCATCAAGAAATCAACACACCCCTCCCTGAAAGTTACCTCTCTCCTCTGCTCTGTGGCCGCCGTCCTGCCTGGATGCCGGCAAGTTGCAGACTGCTGCTGGGGAGGCAGGACCCGAAATAAGAAGTGTCAGCTGGGTCCCTGCACCGAAATGATGCCGGGAGACAACGCTGCAGGCGGCGGCGGGATGGTCTCTCCCCCTCCCCCCGGTTTAATTTAAGCCCCTGACACTGCAAGATGCCCGCTCCTAAAGACACATCTCCAGACAACCTCCTCCCTCCCCACACTTCCTCACAACCAGGTCCAACGCTTTGCCCCACCTCCCACATTTTGTTCACCTGAAGATGCTTTTCTTGCAAAAAAAAAAAAAGACGGGGATTGCAGAATTCTTAATTCCTTCCTTTCCGGGACCACATTTTGGAGAAGGTGCGACTTGTTCAGAAGTTTGAGAATTGCAGCCTGATGCCCAGGAAGGAGCAGAGGCAACGAGTGACCATCTGCTTGGCTTCAGACAAGTCCACACCATCACTTTACTAAAAAAGGACAGAGGTAGACCCAGGGTGAAAAGAATAGGAAAATTCCTCTCTGTCCGCTGGCAAATTTTCAACAGTTTGGGGAAATCTTTAGTTTTGCTTTCCTTCAAGAAAATCCCATTTATAAAATCTGCATGCTTATGAAATGTACAAGATGGCCAGAAAGTGTAAATTTTGTCCTGACGTGTCTATGATTCCTAAACTTTTTGCTCCTGCCTCTATGTGACTTAATATCTTTTAAGATTGAGACAGGGATTTAATTAGGAAAATTCCAGGAGAGAGGAGCGCTTTAAATTACAGATACGGTTAAAACAGTGCATCCTAATATAATCCACAAGAGAGAATGCAGAATAGATGAACCAAAAAGTAGAGAGAGTGAGGAGACAAGAAGGTATTCCCAGATTTTGAATTTAACTCAGAGTCTGAGAAAGGACAATAAAGGAGAAAGTCGGGGCACCGCAACTAAGACTCCTCTTTTAAATAAATTGGTCAGAAGGACCAACTGCATCAATTTCGTGTACATTTCATTACTGAAGTAAGAGCTGCTGTGTGACTTGTTTCTAAACAGACTGGGAGGAAATACTCTGCTGCCTGCATCCTGCCTGGGACACGCGCGGCCACGCTGCTGCAGTGCACCACGGCCGACGTGGGCACCGCATCTTGCCGGCCGCCCTCACCCACCTTCCTCGCTCTCGGGCTTTGGCAGACAGGTAAGGATGGGCAGCAGGGCTATGCTGGCGGACAGAGCCAAGGACTGGCCACAGTGGGGCTGTCAGCGCTCTCCTCCTCTGCGCTGCATCCCCAGCTGTGGTGGAGGGTGGACACAAACTCACAGAGTGTCGCAGTGGAAGGGACCTCAGAGAGCACGCAGCCCATCCCTCCATTTCACAGACAGGAAACCTGAGACCTAAGAAATGGTGGGGCCTCACCCAAGGTCAGCCGGCCAGTAAGATGCAGAACCTGGATTAGAATTTGGGTCTTCAGATTGTTCATTTTATGATCTTCTTGCCATACCTGTCATTACCCCTCTTAAGTGAGCCCTCTGCCTCTGCCACTTCCTCACATGACCATGAGGATCACCCCTCTGCTCTTCGACTCAATTTCCCCTCCCTTGATGATACGCAGACTTAGGCCAAGGAATTTCAGCTCTTTGAATGTGGGAAAAATACCAAGTCATTTTCTTGTTGCCAGAGACAAGACTATACATAAGGCTGAGAATCCAAAGTAGGCTTTCTTCAGTCTCCTCCAATTCTGAGACCCAGAATGTCACCTGCATCCATCTTCTAGGGCTGCTGTAACAAACTGCCACAAACTGGGTGACTTAAAACACCAGAAATGTATTGTCTCACAGTCTGGAGGCCGGAAGTCTGCAGTCCGTGCGGCAGCAGGTTGGCTCCTTCTGGAGGCTCTGAGGACAATCCAGCCCAGGCCCTCTGGGGGCCGCCAGCCGTTCTTGGTGTTCCTTGGCTTGTAGACGCATCACTGCGATCCCTGCCTTTGTGTTCACATGGACTTCTCCTCTGTGCATCTTCTTCCCTTCTCTTTTTGTCTTTTGTCTTGTAAGGACGCGTGTCATTGGGTTTAGGGCTCACCCTAATCCAGCATGATCTCATCTCAGAGATCCTTGATTTAATTACATCTGCAAAGACCGTTTTTCCAAATAAGGTCACATTCACAGATTCCAGCTGGACATATCTTTTGGGGGGGGCTGTCATTCAACCCACTACATCGTCCAATGAAAGCTTTCATATGAGAGCCAACAGCAAAGAAATGTGATGGCCGCAGCCCCACCTCCATCTTTAAAGATGCCATAAGCTGGGTCCCTTTGGTTAGACAAAGTTAGTAGTTACGTCTACAGAACGCTTGGTGTCTTTCTAAGTGCTTTCTCATGTTGATTTATTCCATTCTTACCACGGTCCTCTGAGGCCGGTACTGTCAGTATCACCACCATTTTATAGTCAAGGAAACCAAGGCCCAAAGAAGTTTAGGTCACACAGCTGCTAAGTGGCAGGATTTAGGCCACCTGGCTCCAGAATTTGTACTCCTAACCATGCTTCTGCTTAATTGTGCTGGGGTTGCAGATTCTTCCCTCTCTCAACTTGACACCATTGATTTTCTATCCAACCCACATCTCTGATTTGTGTCTTTTACGGATATTTATTGGGCATTTTTGGATGTGTGCTCTGTGCTGATCTAACTTCGGGCATCATCCTTTGCCCTCCCTACCAGGGACGGCTCCTCCAGCCTTTAGACACACACGGGGGCTCAGTGAAGTTAATCGTGCAGATAAGCGCACAAGGTCATCCTATGAACGGAGGGAGATGTCACCACACATCTAACTCTGTCACTAGTGATTAACAAAACACCTGTCAGGTTAATAATTAACACAAAACAAGCATTCATTTTTAAGTCAATAAGGAAGAAGTAATGGAGGAATAAGGAAGAAGGAACAACAGTGGTCTTTTGGATCTGCCAACATTATGGTACTTGTTTTTCACCTGTTCTTTCCCATGCTGTTTTAGCAAATCTCATATCCTTTCCCTTTCTTCAACAACAAGTTCTAACACATGTTAGATTTCTTCTTAGCGCCTAAATCCTTGTAGCTTTGGCATGCCAATGACCCTGTCGACTTAGACCTTGAAAAAAATGCGTACTGGCTGAGTCTCCTGCACTGGCACTGAGCAGCAAGCATACACGGGGGTGGAAGGCAGACACGGTCCCAGTTTTTGCCATTGGCTCCCTTATGTGGAGTTGATAGGCAACAATCCCACTGTCTCTTATGTTCAGTAACAGCAGGAGAAAACTAGGTTAAACCTATGGAACGTGTTCATCCTGGAAGTTGTTCTAAAATGTTACCCTATAGCTGATTTCAGGGTCTTTCCCTTTCTGAGGATGAGGCGGAAACCCTGAAGGGCGCAGAGCAGTGCTGCCTGGAGAGAAGCTCTTTATGGCTATCTGACTTGGGAGATTCCCTGCCTCTTAAATCATAAAAAGTCCCTCGACCTTTAGATAGCAAAACATCTGGGTTGGGACTGGAGAACGTTGAACGCATCACAGGGGCTTTTCTTTCCGGATGAGTAAAGCTTTCTGTGATGACTTCCATGTGCTTGGCCTTTTCTGCACTGACACAAAACCACCGTCGCCAGGGAGGGGTTCAAGAGGGCGGCTTTTGTCTTCAACAGAAGACAGAGGCTTCTCCTGCCTTGAAGCTGCTCCACTGTTTATGTTGATAACTGCGACGAGGGGAGTTCATTCTGCTCTGAGCAATGCCGTGAGAGGACACAGGGAAGACAGAGCCGAATGCATTTTATAATTAGTAAGAACTGTAACCGCGGACCCTCTAGGCCCCGTTCAACTGACCCCATCTTATCAACAAAGTAATTAAGAGTTGTCTTTCAGGAATGGAGAGTCCCCCTCTTGTCCAGTACAGGCCCGTTGAGACCACCAACCCATTAACTGGGTCTCTGCAAATGCTCAATGCGACCTTTGCCATGTCGAGAAGCTAAAAATTCCCCCCTCAGATCATGGTAATGCTGCCATTTCGTGAACAGGCGCCCTGTGAAGAGCCCTGGAGCCCCCTATGCTTGGCAGACCATCGATTACCTCACTCCTCACCTTTAATCATCTACCTCCGCTCTTCAGACAGCCCTGCCCTTCACCCCATACATTTTGCCCCAAGCCCTGGATCAGGGAGACAGATCTGAGAGCATACGCCCCTGTCTCCTTGCAGATCGATCTGGTGATAAAGCTGTTTTCTTTTCCCAAAAGCTGATGCTGTCATAATTGGCTTTTTTTACGTGCATTGGGCAAGAGAACCCCAATTTTGTGCAGTAACAGAATCTTTCCACCCAGAACAGTCTCATTGTTTCTTCCTTCTGCTTCTTCATCGTCAGCTATGGGATGGCAATCTCCTACCCTCTCAATCTGCCTCTTGGTATATTTAAACAGAACCATAAATGCTCAAATATTAGACCTGTGAGCTGACATATGCACTCTGTGGATTTTCTCACTTGTTCATTGAAAAAGTGTTTACTGAGCACCTACTAAGTGCAGGGCAGTGGAGAGAGACAAACCCTGTCCACACTGGACTAAAGCTACGGCTTGTTATGTGTCTCTGCCTCGACGCTGGAGGTTTACTGGTTTGAGCTAAGATTCTTCCCAGAAGAATGAAGACACTAACTGCAAGAGGGTGACAGGGCACCTTCAGACCCTGGCAGTCAGATGAAAAGTATTTTCAGCGCAAGGAAGCCTTCCTGGGGTCCTTGAAATTACGACCTTGGCCATAAGCACCTTTCAGTCTGCCCATGGAACCCACATCTCTTGGTCTGTGTCCAAATGTCCCCTTATCAGAGTCCCTCCCTTCTTAAAAACAGCACACCAGGAGCCAGCCCCATGCTCTGCTTCAGTGGCTGGGGTTCTCAGGTTCGGATCCTGGGTGCAGACCTACACCACTCGTCAGCTGTGCTATGGTGGCATCCCACATAGAAAATAGAGGAAGATTGGCACAGATGTTAGCTCAGGGCGAATCTTCCTCAAGCAAAAAAAGGAGGAGGATGGGCAGCAGATGTTAGCTCAGGGTGAATCTTGCTCAGCAAAAGAAATGAAAATGAAAATGAAAATAAAAATAAATAAATTTAAAAACCCGGCACACAAGTACTATCTTCCTTGCCTGGCTTTATCTCTCTTCTGAGCAGGCATATCAGCATCTGAGATTGTACACTTACTTGTTTATTTGTTGTTATTTGTCTCCCTGCTCTGGAATGCAACCTCCCCCAAAGCGAGGAATTAGCTGTTTCATTCACTGCTGTGTCCCCAGCACCAGAACAGGGAGCTAGGCTCCTGCTACCTTTCTGTCCTGTCATTCTTAGCATGTGACTTCCAATCTCACAGTCACCTCATGAGCCAAGAGAGTTGCTGGAGTCCCAGCTGTCATATCAGCATTCTAGGCAGGAAGCAAGGAGTAGCTGGAGGAAGAATGTGGAAAAAGCACATGCCAGCCACCTGTCTCCCTTTTCATCAGTTTTACTTGACAACTTTTGCTTACATCTCATTGGCCAGAACTTAGCCATGTGGCCGTCTTTAGCTGCAAAGAAAGCTTGGAAATGTAGTGTTACAGCTGTGTACATTGCCACACTGAATAAAATCAAGGGTCTGTTACTAGAAAAAGGAGAAAAGGATATTGGGTAGGCCAGTAGGCTCAATTGAACACCATGTCTTCCTTCTTCGTATATTCAGGACGCTCAGACTTTTCTACAGGAGGATGTTAGGGGCCCACTTTTTAAAAATATAGGCAAGTTTAACATGCCTGCCGTTTTGTTTTATAGACTTCACTCATGATATTTCTAAGCCACCAAGGGCACAATTTAATATAAGAGAAGAGTAATAAAATAAAGCAGCAGATTGATTTTTTTAATGTCTAAAATCTAATTTAAAAGAATGTTTTTAAGGAGAAGAGTGAACTCCTTGAAGAATAAACTCCTGGTCTCTGTGGGTCTCCCTGCTTTATCCTTAGATTGTAACGCAGTTCAGGCTTTGTTTAGATCCTATGTGCCAGGCACGGTGCGGGAGAGGGGATGGAATGGTCTCATGAAGGAGAATGCTGGTTCGTTGATGCTCCGAGTGGGGCTGTAAGGACCTTCCTTAGCTGCTGGAGCTGTTACCAGTGATGTGTTTTTGAGCAATTTTCTGGGCGTCTTGAAGTCACTCAATGATTTGTATAGATCCCTTGAGTCCTGCTGAGAATTTTTCACCTTTTAGACTTAATATTAAGCAAAACTCTTAAAGACAAGAAAAAGAAATCCTGGCTTTGCTCTCAGTGTTTTGGTCCTTAAAGACATGTGTCATGGGACGTCCAAATGGGGCCTGGGATCCATTTCAGTTTCGGGCCCAGTCTTTAGAGGCCACCATTCCCACTCCAGAGGGGGTGTGGACGACTGGACGAACACGCAAAGGAAGAGGCAAGTGATAGTTTGCAGCGATTAGCTCAATAACTGTTTTGAGGAAGTAAGAAAATGCAGCACATTTGAGGTTAGGGAAAGAAGGTGTTTCAGTGGTGGGTGTGTCGTGAGCATCGCCCAGGCGTGGAGGAGCAGGGGCTTGCCTCCCCCTCACCCCCAGCTGACTGTAAGGACCTTTATGGAGAGGACTCAGGGAGCAGGCACTTGTCCCCCAGGGCCAGGGACGAAATGGCCTGGGGCTCAACTCCCACCTGAGAAATCTAAAGGTGGGGAGGGGGCGCCTGGCTATGTGGCCCTTGGCAGTGACATCCTTTCCCTGACAGCCAGTCTAAGGTGGGAGGTTCTGGGGAGCAGGTGTGGGTCTTGGAGAGTCTTAGATCTTCTCAACAGGCGCCTGGAGGAGGAAGGCAACCTCAGAGGAAGGGGTCTGATCTCTGAGGGCCGGGGTGGAATTACAAATGACAGAAGACCAGCCAGAGAAGGTGTTGCCCCTGGAATCAGAAGGTCAGCAGGTGTGAGCGCTTCTCCAAAGCGCCTGGTGTGATAAGCTTGAAATACCTGCTGAGCCTGGGGAGCAGTGATGCCAGTGCACAATCTCCCAGTCCACTTAAAACGCAGCTGTCCCCTCCTTGTGTCTTCTTCCAGCCCGGCCGTCATCCTGGAGACTACAGCCAGCAAGCCGAGGATGCACCCGCGGAGAAACAGTGTCCCAGCCCCTCCCCACCAGGAGCTGGGGTGGGGTGGGGAAAAGCTGTAACTTTGGGGTTTTGACTATTACAGGAGAGTAGACATTTTAATCCCAGCTGGAGAGAGAAGCCAGGAAAGTCATCTTTCGCCCTTAGGTTTGGTCCAAGGGTGGAGCTGGAGCATCTCGGCAGGTGTGAACCGGCAGCGGGGGAAGATGAAGTTGTTCTCTTTTGTATCCAACGAGCCCCCTTGTTCACCAACTACACACAAAAGCTTTACAAAAAAGTCAGAGTTGGTCTGTCAATTGCGGAAAAGCACAATCAGCACATGCATTAATTAGGGCTCCATTTACACTTCCTGCCTCACCTCTAAATACTAGTTCTTCTAACGGTTGCACTCATTGGAATTCTATTTGTAATCTGGATTTCTTCAAGTACCTGGGAGCCTCGCTCTAACATTACCCAACATCCTGGAACTTAATACAGATAAGCTCATTTGGGGCCTCATCCATGAGAGGCTTAATTCTAGAAGAGTTGGGAGAACATCATTGTCATGTTACACAATTGCACGGGTTCTGGGAGTGCCGTGCTCCAGAGACCCTGGTGTGTGTTGGAATTTCACATGCCTTTAATTTGTAACAGGGACTCACAGGAACTCAACATTCTTCCGTACTGGACTGACAATTAAGGCAAAGTGTCTGACTTAAGCTAACACACAATTTTCCTTTACAATAAAGTTGCAGCTGGACAGGCGTCGTTGAGGAGTCAAGAAGGACACAGAAGTGGAGACAAGATCTGGACATTTGAAGGGGTTCTGTTTTTGCTGCGTAGACATTGATTGCTGTCCCACCTCTGACAGGTGTGAGCCTCAGGGATAAACCTCCACGTGTCTAACCTTCCCCGTACACACACTGGCTTGTCCTTACCCCCAGAGACAGGCCAGCATCCTGGGTTAAGTGATACCACACAAGCCAAGCCCCTCTTAGCTCCTCAACCACGGGATGCTGTCCCAATGTGACTGTTTTGTTCTTTTTAGTGATTTTGTTTTTATTGAGATAAAGTATATATAACGTAACACTTCTCACTTTAATCATTTTTAAGAGTACAATTTGTTAAGTATTCATAATGTTGAGTAACCATTACCACAATTCATTTCCAGAACTTTTCACGTGTTCCCAAACAGAAACTCTGCACCCAATAAACAGCAATTCCCCATTTTCCCCTCCCTCTGCCCCTGGCAACCACCATTCTACTTTCTGTCTCTATGAATGTGCCTATTTTAGGCATTGCATATAAATGGAATCATACAACGTTTATCTTTTTGTGTCTGGCTTCTTCCACTTATAATGTTTTCAAGTTTCATCCATGTTATAGCATGTGTTAGAATTTCATTCCTTTTTGTGGGTGAATAATATTTCATGGTGTGGATATACCACATTTGTTTATCTATTTGTCTGTTGACTGACACTTGGGTTGTTTCCGCCTTTTGACTGTTGTGAATAATGCTACTGTGAACGTTGGTGTACAAGCATCTGAGTCCCGGCTTTCAATTCTTTTGGATACATACCCAGGAATGGAACTGCTGGATCACACAGTAATTCCATGTTTAACTTTTTGGGGCATCTCTAAATTATTTCCCACAGCAGCTGCACCATTTTACATTCCCACAAGCAACGCATGAGGGTTCCAGTTTCTCTACATCCTTGCCGACTCTTGTTATTTTCCCTTTTTTGTTTTTTTGTTTGATTATAGCCATTCTAGTGAGTGTGAAGTGGTGTCTCATTGCGGTTTTGATTTGCATGTGCCTAATGACTAATGATGTTGAGCATCTTTTCATGTGCTCATTAGCCATTTGTATATTTTCTCTGGAAAAATGTCAAAGTCCTTTGCCCACTTTTGAATTGAGCTGTTTGGTTTTTCTTGTTGAGTTGGAAGAGTTCTTTACATATTCTGAAAATCAATCCCTAATCAGACATATGATTTGTGAATATTTCCTCCTATTCTGTGGGTTGTCCTTTCAGTCTCCTGATACTGTCCTTTGATGCACAACCAAATGTGACTTTTTGCAAATGTAAAAAATAATAAGTGGTCTGACAAAGATCTGCCAGCTAACAACTATGTTATATTAGTTAATTCATCCATTTAACCAACAAGTATTAAGAAGAACCTCGTGCTGGTTGCTGGGGAGGGGTTTATGTTCATGGGATATAACAGCCACCAGACAGCTCACCTTCAAAGTGTTTATAGTCCCGTTGACAAGACGCTTCCCATAAAACAGAGAGGCTGGAAAACAATAACAACGGATGTTTGTGGGTGTCCCAAACGTGTGAATTCCAGCTGATATGACAGAGTGCTCCAGCATCAAGGGAGGTTGGTCAGGGAAAGCGACACAACTCTTGTCATCACCTGGCCCAAACGACACAATCAGATTTCTCACCGGCAATCAATACATCCACCACCACAGTAGATGCTGTGTGACATCTGAGTTAGCAAGAACTCGAGAACGTTAACTCTAGCTGTTATAACATCCCCAGCTCACTTGGTCCCTTACCAGGTCAAGGTTATATTCTGGGGGAGAGCTTCCACGTGCCTTTGCGACAGATATGAAGGCATCACCAGTCCCCCCCTTTCGTGGAGGCTGCACCATCAAATCAAATCACAGAAAATTTTTTTATTGAGCACCTATTTTAGTGACCTACTTTAGGTCTTGGGTGCCCTGTTTGCTTAATCTTGATTTTAAAATAATAATAATAATGAGTTATTTACTGTTACATATAATTGAATTTAATGAAATTAGATCTTACAAAACAAAAACGTTAAAAGGCAATTATTTACATGGTCAAAGAGTCTATATTTTTGAAAGGCTTCATCTTAAATTCTTATGAAGACATTTTCTAACACAGATAAGATGGGGTTATAGAAGCATGAAATTCAGCAGAAACCCTCATCACAGAAGGGTCCAGGGCCTGGGATTGGAAAGCCAATCAGAAATCACAGTTGTCGAAATGATCATATAAGTACATGGGGGAAACATGATTTCTAAATGATTAGCATAAATTTTTGCATTATGTATTGCTTTTCAGCCACATTTCTGTTATTTAAGGCAAGCTACGCTCATACTTCAGGGAGCCTAATGCCACTGACTTGACTTGACAACTGTCCCTATTTGAAGCCTGCCTCCTGTATGAGAGTTTAAGGTCCCTGAGGGTAGCTATGTCTCCTGGTTCCTCAAACACCTTCTTCGAGATTGAGGGGACCTACTGGCTTAAGCCAAAAGCCTGGCAGCATCCCTGATTCTTCCTCCCCCCTCATCACCTACACCTAACCCATTAGCACATCTTGTCAATTTCCTCTCCTGAGCCTCTCTCCACAGAATACAGGTGCCCCTGTGTGTTAACCATGTGTTTCTGATGCTTTGACAGTCGGGCCTTGCTGACCCTTGAGGGACTGCCCCTCCCAGGGCTAGCCAACTCCTAGAGATAGGAAATGATTCACCCTGAGTGTGCCTTTCACATGCAAACCATCCAATCCAGAGCCCACATCCCAACCCCTCCTCTGTCAGGCTCTCGCACTCAGGGCTGCTGTCCACCTGCCCTCATCACCAGGTAACAGACAACTCGGGGGCAGCCCCTATGCCTTGGAGCCTGGTGATACTATTCACACTAACCAATGCTAACCTGCTTACCCTGCCTTGCCTGTGCCTTCCCACGGAAGCCACAAGAAAGGCGCTTCCCCACATTTCCCTTGGTTCCTTCTGCTCATGGCTGACCCTGGTACCCCGCCTTGGCACTGTGTGGGTGGTGTGCCGTGCCCCCTCTTCTTGGGTGAGAATTTCAAAACACCCTGGAGTTTTGCCACTAGCCAGTCTGGACCCTTTGACAACCCCCATCCACTCAATGTGCCTCTCCTCTAGGCCCACGGCCCAGGAGCCCAGGGGACTTCTCCAAAGTGAAAACTGGTCTTGTCGCTCTCTTATTTAAAATTCCCCAGAGCCTTCCATTACAAATTAGAATCAGATCCACCATCCTCGCCACGGCCTACAAGGCCCTGTGTGTCCCAGCTCCGTGACCTGTTCTTGGGCTATCTCTTGCTTAGTGCTCCAGCCGCACTGGCCTCCTTTCACTTCTTCAGAGATGCCAAGCTATTTCCTGCCTCGGGGCCTTTGTATGTGCCATTCTCTTGGCTTGGAACATCCTTCCTCCAGCTCTTGCACAACTGGGCTCTCTCCCTCTAGTGTCAGTCAAATGTCACCCCTTGGAGAGACTTTCCTCCGTTATTCTGTTTTATTTTCTTCATCTCACTTGTCACTCTGTAATTATTCTTTTACTTGTTTATTGTCCATCTCCCCACCACACCCCCCCCCCCCAACTTGGAGTAGACTATAAGCTCCTTGAGAACAGGCGCCTTGTTTGCAGCCAAGTCCCCTGAGTCTAGCACAGCCTGGTGTGTGGTATTGGATGAACGAATGAGGAGTACCCTACCTGTATCTCCAGGACTGGAGAAGGGAGGAGTGGAAGGGGCTTATGAGTGCCCAGTTGTCCCCTGCTGTGACCCTGCAGCCACTTGGGAGCTGCTGGCTGACCAGAGGCTCCCAAACTCCTGGCCCGAGACCAGGCTACTGCAGCGTCAGAGCTGGGAAAGGCAGACAGTGTCTGCTTCCTGGAGAAGCCAATGAGAAGCCGGCCTCCGTGTCTTGAGGTCCTGCTGACCACCACGTTTCCCCTGCAAGCATACCCCATCCTTCCCCCAGACCCCAGGCTTACCCATTGCCTGCTCCAGAAGCTTTGCTGTCCCCAGGCTGCGTCTCCACTTGGCCTGAAGGATCTGATGCAGCTTTTGCTGGTGCAGAGATGTCTGGGTGGCTGCCAGCACTTTTATCTTTTCATTTCTTCTGCCAGCCAAGAGCTTTTCCCTGCTTTTGCCTCTTGAAGCTGAAGGCAAGAAATGTTGACCTTGAGTACAGGTGTCTGTTGCTTCGTTACTCAAGGTCCTCTGTCCTGGTTCCCATCCAGGCCAGCTGCTCCCCAGTGTCCTCTCTTCTTTTCCCTTGACCCCTTGTCCCCTGGGCAGCCTCAAAACAAAATTTGGGATTTTTTTCTGAGCTCTAGCTCAGGCAGTAGTAGCACTGCGAGTTTTCCCATTTTGCCCAAGGGAACCAACGCACCTCTTCAGATTGTAAGTGGCCACTTGGAGAAAATATTCCTAGAGTCATCATAGCCACGTGCGGAGCAAAGGGGACTTAAGCACTTGAGCTTGGTGGCTCTGGCTCCCCACCTGGCACCATATTCACTCGACAAACATTTTTTGAGGGTCTACTGTTTGCCAGGCATTGGTCTTCCAGGGTCTGTCCCACTGGACCGGGTAGGGACTTTGGTCACGTCACTGTTGCATAGCCATCCAAGTAGATGTTTTTGAAGCACACACTTTGTTGACAATTCAACAAAGTATGCTGGGACAACTGATATCCACACGCAAAGGAATGATGTTGGACCCCCTACCTCTCACATCATGTACCAAAATTAACTAAAAATGCATTAAAAGCCTAAATGTAAGAGCTAAAACTATTAAACTCTTAGAAGAAAACACGGCATAAATTTTCATGACACTGGATGAGGCAAAGCCTTCTTAGATATGACACCAAAAGCGCAGGCACTGAAAGAAAAAATAGATAAATCGGATATCATCAGAATTAAAAGCTCTTGTGCTGCAAAGGACACTCTCAAGAAAGTGAAAAGACAACCCACAGAATGGGAGAAAACTTTTGCATTCGTATACCTGGTAAGGGACATGTATCCAGAATATACGAAGAATTCTAACAACTCAATAACAAAAAGACAGCCCAATTGAAAAATGGGCAAAGACTCTGACTAGACATTTCTTCAAATAAGATCTACAAATGGCCAATAAGCACATGAAAAGATGCTCAATGTCATGAGCCATCAGGAAATTGCAAATCAAAACCACAATTAGATCCTACTTCAGCCTCAAGAGAATGGCTATAATCAAAAAGTCAGATGATAACACGTATTGGTGAGGATGTGGAGAAATAGGAATCCTTGTACATCGTTGGTGGGAATGTAAAATGGTACAGCCACTGTGGAAAATAATCTGGCAATTCCTCAAAAGGTTAAACATAGAGTTAGCATATGACCAAGCAATTCTACTCCGGGGTATAACCCCAAGGGGAATGAAGACATACGTCCACACAAAAACATGTACACATACATTTGTAGCAGCATTATTCATGATAGCCAAAAAGCGGAAAGAACCCAAATGTCCATGAACTGACGAGTGGATAAGGAAAACATGGTGTATCCATACAATCAAATATTATTTAGCAATAAAAAGGAATGAAGCACTGATACATGCTAAAATATGGACGAACCTTAGAAACATTGTTTATGCAACAAACATGTGTCTATATAGCACATATATAACATACGTGTGTCTATATAACATACATATGCACAAAGGCCACATATTGTATGATTCCACTTACACGAAATGTCCAGAATCAGCAAATCTACAGAGACAGAAAGCAGACTGGTGGCCTAGGATTGAGAAGATTGGGAGGAAATGTGGAGTGACTGCTAATAGGTACAGGGTTTCTTGTTGGAGTGATGAAAGCGTTCTAAATTGATTGTGATGATGGTTGCACAACACTGTGACTATGCTAAAAATCATTGAATCGTACACTTTAAATGGATGAATTGAACAGTATGTGAATTATATCTCAGTAAAGCTGTTATGAAAAATTCATGTGATAAAGATCCTGGACAATTAAGAGGTTTGAGAAGCTACAAACTTATAATTTGTGGCAGGCAAAATAATGATTCCATAAAGATGTCCAGGCCCTAATGTCTGGAATCTGTGAACATGTCACCTTACATGGCAAAAGGAACTTGGCAGGTATGGTGAAGGGTCTGGACTCTGAGATGGTGAGTTTATCCTGGATAATCTGAGGATAATCCAATCTAATCACGCAAGTCCTTGAAAGCAGAGGCCCTTCCCCACTGGGTCAGAGAGATGAAGCTGCAACAGAAGGAGGAGAGACTGAAAGCATTCTGCCTTCCACTGCCGGCTTTGAAGATGGAGGAGGGGGTACAAGCCAAGGAATGTGGTAGTCTCTGGAAACTGGGAATGGCCCTCAGCTCACAGGCAGCAAGGAAACAGGGATCTCAGTCCTCAAATAGCAAGGAACCCAATTCTGCCAACACCCAAACGAGCAAGAAAAGGGCTCCCCTAGAAAGGAATGCAGCCCTGTGACCCCTTGCTTTAGCCCAGTGAGACCCACATCGGACTTCTGATCTATAGGACTATAAGATAACACATCTGCATTGTTTAAGCCACTAAATAGTGGTAGATTTTTATGGCAGCAATAGAAAACTAATACATAGCTACTTTATGTAGACTTTGTGAAGCCTATGTTAAAAAAAAAAAAGAGTTCTGAGCTTTCTCATGTCTGGGGATGAAAAGACCTACTTGTGGTTGAAAATCCACAGCGCCTGTTCTCTCCTTCCCCCCGACCCCATGCAGAAAGCAAAGAGTGAGCGAGTAGTAGAGCTGACTTAGTGAGTGGTGCCTGAAAATAGAAACTGCAACGTGATTTTATTTCTAACTCTGCAGACATCTCTTGTGAGTCATTCATCGCTCTGGGTCTCACTTTCCATGTCTGTGAAGCAGGCTGAGGTAACCCTGACTTCTGCCTAGCCCACAGTTTAGGAGGAGGAAAAATAGCTTCACGAAGAGAGTTCCAGGGCGCTCCTTGACAAGTGTGGGATAAGCCACAGATACAGTTCGGGTCACAGGACCCCCAAGGGGCATCTTTCTTCCGGCTTCCTTCAGAGGGTTTGGGGCACACGCAGATCCTTGCGATGTGGCCTGGCATGTCTTGCAGCTACTCTTAGTGCAGAAATGAGAAAAGCTTCAGGTAGGCAAATGTGCTGAAGCCACTCACAAGGCCCACACGCACGAGGTTTTAGATTTTGGGGGGCAATACTCTCACACCTGGATGAGACCAAATTGTTTTCATGATGGAAAGAAAGCAAAACAATGGTCCGGATCAGACCAGAAGGTACAGAGTCGGGGGGAGACTGAGATTGGCACTAAGGTGAGGGAGGAGGGCGGAGAAATGAAAACATCTCCATGATGTGTGCGAGTGGAAGAAACAGTGAGGAGAACAGCTGTGACACCTAGGCTCATTTCACGTCAGTCCTCAAAACCCACCCCACCTAAGTGACACCTAAGGGGACACACACATTTTCTTAATAAGCTGGTTGCAGTTGACTTGGCTTTGGGATATTTTAAAAGATGGCCTTGTGATGGCTGCACAGGGATCTGGGGAAAGTCCCCTTGCCTCATCTGAGTCTCTGCACGCCTGACTCCTCCCATCTCCCTAGGCCCCAGTTTACATAGTTGTGTGGGTGCCGGGTGCACCCAGGGTTATGGAGCATGAGAAGGGCTCTCGGCCAAGAGTCCTGGCATCGCCCAGTCCGGTTCTGCTGGCCCCTGCCCTAAACCCTCCTGCCTACTTGCAGCGTGGAGGCAGCCCAGCGGGCACCTAGCTCCTTGACCCTCTGCACAGGTCTCACCCAGTATGGCCCAAATCCTTTCTGAGGCCCAGCAGCCCGCTACAGGCCCTTAGATGGCCCCTGGCCTTGGTGATATGGGGGCCCAGCCCCCTCAGCTCTCCAGCTTTCCTGGAACCCTCTTGCCCAACATCCTGTGTGGTAATCACACCTGTTGGCTCCACTTAGTTCTGCTTGCCACTGCCAAGTTCCCTCTGCTGGTTGCCAACGCCCCTAGCTCGATTGTAAGCTTCATGAAATAGAAAGCTGCTATAAATTTTCTCTCTCTGGTGAGACTCCCCTCTCTTTGGTGGCCCAGCGTCAGCAGAGGTGACCATGCATTCATTCTCCTGTCTCCGGGGTGGGAGGAAGGTGGGTCTGGAGAAGGGACACATCTAAGATGCCCTAGGAGTAGGGAGGTCCAGGAGGTGGCCCTGGGTGGTCTGGCTGGTCAGTGCAGCAGTGGCCCTGTCTTATCAAACCCACAGTCACTCAGGGCTTCTGAGAGAAAGGGCCACGGCAGTAAGGAACAGCTGCCTCCCTAATGGCTGAGGCCCCACTGGGGGCACTGACAGCACCGTAGGGCTGGGAGAAAAGTGGGCACAAGGTTGCTGCAAGATGAGGGTCACACACTGAATGATAAAGGTAGGAGCGGGGAAGAGGATTGGGCTGCCATCCACTGAGTGCCGTGAGAGGCAGCTGACCATTTTATCTCATTTATACACCTCACCGCGCCATACAGAGAAGGCCTTATTCCCATGTACTATATTTCTATTAAAGCCGCACAGGTGCAAGCTACCGTTTCCCGAGCACTTATCAGAGGCCAAGATAACCCCTGAGGCGGGTACTCCCATCGCACCCATTGTACAGATGAAGAGACAGTCTCAGGTTAGCGTCTTCAAGGTCACAGGGTGTAAGCAGAGATTTGAAGCTGTCTGGTGGAGGCGTGGCAATAGTGTGCTCCCGGGACACTTCGATCACTACTTGTGAACGCTGAAAATGCGATGAAGTAAGCCGCTGGTTCTATAGATGGAGAAAAGCGAGGCCTGGGGAGGTCAGGTAACCCGTTCCAGGTCCCACAGCTGATGCCAGGTCCTGGGGAGGAGCCAGCAACCCGGCTCCAGGTTTCCTCCACGACACAACTACTTTCCTGGGCCACTTCTGGGGCTCTCGTGCGTCGCAGAAGACAGCCCCTACTATGTACAGCAAAACGCAGGGCCGGAGAGAAGGGCTGCGGCTGCGAGGGAGGAGGGCCAAGTGCCCGCCCACTTCACTCGGAAGTCCCGCCGACCCACGCGAACCAAGGAATCATTCGCTAGGCCCCGCCTACTACCCCGGCGACCCCGAGCTAGGGGGCGTGGTCTCGCCTGCACCTCGGCCTCCGTCTCCGCCGCGCGCCCCTCGCCCCCTGCGCGCGCACCCCTCGCCCCCTGCGCGCGCACCCCTCGCCAGGGGCTCCAGTGCGCGCGCGCCACGGCGCCGGTGTTCTGAGGCCTGGGCCGGTGGAGCCGCGGAGCTCCGGACGCTCCTGCGGCTCGGGCTGGGCAGGGAAGGGGCAGCCGGACTGGCCTTGGCCTCGCGCCCTCCCCGCTCGCGCCCCCGGCTCGGCGGGCGAAACCCGAGCGCGCGTCCAGCGCGGGGCCGCGTGACGCGCACCTGTCGGGCAGGCCGCGCCCGCGGAAGAGGATGCGCGGGGCCCGCGCTTGGCCCGCGCCCGGCCCGCAGCGCCGCGCCGCCCGCAGCGTTTCCCGGAGAAGCGGCCGGCTCTGACGGGCGAGATGAAGTAAGCTGCCTCCCCCTCTCTCCACGGCTCCTCTGGCCTCGGGCGTCGTTTCCAGCCCAACAGCGGCCGCGCGCCCGCGCTGGGCCGGCCCAGCTCGGTGGGTCGGGCGGCCGGCCCGGAGGCTGGCCACGCGCGGCTGCAAAAGCCTCGGGCATTTGCTGGAAGGTGTCACCTCGGCCACCACCCAGCTCCCGCCGAGCTCCGGCCCCGGCCGGGCAGAGCCCGCCCCGATTCCCAAGTCTTCCACTTTCTCCCTGCGGATGCGGGCGGCAGGAGGCAGCCCGGCCCTTGGAGGCTGGTCCAGATCAGGGTCTGAATTCGGGAGTTCAGTTCAATGAGAGGGGGATTTCAGGGCTTTTTTTCTGAGATCTGCTTCATCTTTGGCATTTGCCTTCGGGTTCCAATCAGCGTTTCCGATGCACGCATCCAGGGAATGGTGTTCCAGAAGTGAGCTGTCTGCATCCCTGCAAAGCAGCTCGCTCAAA